GAAGACGCCATCAAGGCACATCTCACAAGGCATGGCAGACAGGCATGTCGAAAGCATGTGACAAAGGCGGTCAGAACAAGCAGCGAGGTGCATACCTTGGGAATTGGGTTGGATTGAATTGGATTCGGTTGACGAGCCACACACAGGTCCGGCCGGGGGCGGACACGAATCTCTCAGACAATCATGAGGTAAAGTAGAGACTAGTCGGAGGATGCAAAGGCCAAACTACCAGGAGCGACGGCGACAGGATACAGTCGTCGTGCGGTGGACCAAGTTGAAGCCGATGATGGTGTGCAGGGAAGGTGGTTGAGCGACGAGGCTGGAAGGCACGACGGGACAAGAACGGCGGGCAGTGAACCGACAAGTTCGGGCTCGCAGACAATCAATCAAGACGGCTTCGAAGCGCAGCAGAAATCGAAACCAACAGTAATGGGCGACGGAGGTCGAAGAGAAGAGAAAAGTTGAGCCGGTGCGTGTATGGACGCTGGACGGAGGAGGACAACGAGGAGGGACAGACACGGCCAGGGCAGATGGCGTGAGGCGCTAGTTACTGCCTGCTTGCGCACGGTCTTTCTACAAAACATACAGGCCGCAGTGGCCGCACTTATCGACGGCAAGCAACACAGACCACAGGTCGTTTCGCGATGCCACTTAAAAAAGAATCCACCGGCGGCCACTGCAATCATCGTCATACTGCTGCCAAATCTCCCTGATGTCAATGATCAGCTTGCAAAACCTCCGTTGCTCCTGCCTTGAGCTCTTGAAAACCTTTGTATCAAGGGAAGCCGCCCAGTCTCTCCCCACCAAGTGCTCCTTCCACAAGCTCTCCTCTTTCCTCAACCGCCGGGACGCGTCTCCCTGGCCCGTATCTTGTCTCAAGAGAACCTTGTCTTGGCCTTTGCCGAATGCACATTGAAATCGCCCACCCACTGTCTCTGCGACACACTCCTTGAAAGTACAAAGTATCATCATTAAACAATCGTTCCCCGTTCAGCTATAACAAGCCAATCTCTTGTTTCCCCATTTCCACCGCGACCATTTCCCAACTGCCGCCGCCTATTCGTTGGCGTCTTTTCTGCGAATCATCTTCATCTTACCATTCGAGTACGGCATACGGAATGCCCGTCCATCCGGCTTGGATCACTCCGTCATGCCGGCTGCTTGCATACCATTCTTCTTGTACTGGCAGCTCTTTTCTGCCGAGCCTGCCGACTCCTTTGAACCATTTTTTGTTATTCTGTCGTTCCTTCGATACGATACGAACACGAAGTCTGCACTTGGCAAACCCTGTTCGTCCCCATACACTGTATCCTCCTTGCTTGTTTGGTCCCAAAACCTCCTTGTACACCTCAGCCCTGTCAATATTGTTCATTGGTAACGACATGCGAGTCAGAGAAGGGGAAGGGTTCACAGCAGTCTGCAGCTTTCTGCAGCTTACCTGACACTGACTCACGCTGCCACAGGATCAACGGAGAAGCTTCCACAAAGCGGAGCCTTCTCTTTGGGACGATCCACCCTCGAGCACCCTTGCGAGTCGCGGTGAGTCTGTTCTGGTATTGTTCGTCCTTCTGGCTCGCATGAGACGCGACACACGACGATGCCGCTGCGTTCCTCCGTTTTACATCCATCTCAGCTCGGCACTCCGGGCTCCTGAAACGCCGGCTTTGACTCCAAATCTCCGCACTGAGACCTTGGGGATGGGTGGATCTGGGTAGAAAACACGCAGTTGACTCGGCTGAAATCGTGCGATCTTGTTTGGTCCAGCCAGACCAACTCCAATGACGACTTTGGCTGGTTTCCTTCGTTTCGCCTGCCGAAAGGTTGAGGCATAAAAGTGTACCAAACAATGACATTGATATGCACGCGGCGCAAGCAGCGCTTTCGGCTAGGCGCACATCTACTCGATATTGACCTACATATAAGAAGTGCTAATGTGCAGGCGAAAGGGACAACGAGCCAATAGCCAGATGACAATCCTGGAAGAAAAGGAGCCGTAGATACGAATGGCTTGTAGGGCCTTCTCCACACTAAGTGCAATTTTAGAATGATTGAGACGCTCTGTCCATCGCTCGTACAGGCCGACTCCCTACTGTGCTCTAAAGAAGCGTGATTGTTCTCTTCTTCATTAGGGACTGGTGTCTAGGAATCACTTCTTGCGCCGATCATAACATGGGGAAGACACATAAAAGGTTTGCGGCAGCCACGAAACGAGAACGGCAGCAGCAGTTGGTGAAACACCAGATAAAAGGCCAGCCCAGGCGTCATGGTGTTTTTTCTATTTTGCTTGGACCTTCTTCCGTTGCGGCTGGCTGAAAGCAGAAAACGTTCAATTAGTTGTAGGGATTATTGCGGCTGTCGGCAGTGAAACTGTCGAGTGCCGATCGTGAGCAATGAACGCCTTTTACTTTCATCATGTCCTCCATGTTCTGACCATAGCGACAACAGTGGTCTGTGTTCGTTTGGAGAGCCTTGATAAGGCTATAGCATCAGGCTTCGCGACGTCGCAATTCTCACGGACCGGTTTGCGGTAAAGTTGACCTGTCAATCTCGCGCTTGGGGTTCGTTTAGCATTTCTTTGGGCCTGAAGCCTCAAGCGCAGATAAGGAGGCGCGAGCGAAGGAACAGAAAGCAGCAGCAGCAGCAGCAGCAAGAGCAAGCCTGCACTCATGCATGCGACCGGGAGGCGGAAAGCACAAGCGAAGTCGAAAAGAGGAATTTCCCTTCGTGGTGCAGGGTGGCTCGTGGATTGACCTGGCATGCAGCTGTTGGCCTCCAATCAGTACCGCCGACCTTTGTTTACATTCTGCCTGTTTCGTCTCCACAGCGGTGGTTGGTGTAGACGACACCACTCTCCACGACGACACGGCGCGAATATGCGACAACTCACAGCTTGCAGCACTCGGTATCCTGTTAGCCACCCCCTCGGCTACCCACCCAGGCTTCTCCGGGAGCATGCCTTCATTGTGCAGGTTGTACGTATGCGTCTCCATCACGATGATCACATGAACTTTCTTGCGACGACCACGAAAGGAGAAAAAGATCCGATGGCCGTGCAAAGTCAAGGACCCTGCACACCTGCAACCACTTAACAGTGCATCTCGCGCAGTCCGTATCTTTTGTCCGCCAGCCACAACCCAAGGGGATTCTGCAGAAAGCAGATCTCATGACAACGAATCGGACGCGGCACGGTTGCACGACATACACACCCCAGACCCAAGAGATGCCCATCAAGCAACCCACTCGGCAGCTTTCCTTTTGCACATCGACGCTTCCACATCCTCCATTGCGACAACCCTCCACCCACACCTCCGCACCTTTCACACCTTCACCGCATGATGGGATACACTCGACCTCGCCTTTCTCCTTCACCGCAAGATGGCAGAGCGTGGCACGGAAACGATCTACCAAAACGACCCCGCTTGAGCAACACCGCACAGTAAAAACCAATCTATCTGAGTTTCCGCCTCGGAAGCAGAGCCAACCTCTGCATTGGGACCGCGAGAGGGCTAACCCAAGATCGACGAACCTGCATGACGGAAGGAAGCAACGGCTTTCCCTACACGACAGAGTATCTTATCAGTGGATTAACTTCTAATCCGGGACATCTACTGATGAGTGAGCTCTCTTTCCTTCCGACATTCACTGTGAACACAGATCTCTTGCCTGACAAGAAGCTATCTCAAAAACGTCTGGAAGTCGAACGTTCCAACTCGATCTCAGGGTTAGGTAAGTGCAATAGCATGCATGCAAGATGTGGATGTTGCATAGACTATAATGCTTGAGAAAAGACCGAAATGACACACGATTCATGCTCGCGCATAGATGCATGAGACCGAGGCTTAGCTGGTCGTCTTAGCCATCGCATGTCTGCGTCATCAGCTGCAATGGTATAGGATGATCTTCTCATGCCCTGAACAGCTTTTCCTTTTTCTAACCACTCACACCATCACCTTCGATGCCAAGACAAGTTTCACGCACTTGCACTGGGGAGATCGTTCACCCTGAAAGCGCAACTCGGCTCGTCTCAAATATCTCCCTCTTCTTGCATAGGAGAGAGCATCATGCGGGAATCTCAGTGCTCATGTACGTGACCCGCTTTGATATCAATCTCGGCGGCAACCGAAGAGATGGGTGAAACATAAGGAGCCTGATCACAAGACTATTCTTGAACCTCTGAAAGTGTGGTGCAAGGAGATGGGTGGATGCTAGATGTCGTTGTGAGTCATGTTTGGTAGATTTACGAATCACAGGCTATGAACAGTTGATGAAGGTGTCGATTGTGAACACCAGTTCTTGACGTTCTGCGAGTGGCCTTGTGATCTTATATTCAGTCATGCTACTACTCACCGTGCTGCATATACCAGCGCTAGTCCGAGTAGTTGTGAATCGCAAAGACTGACACAAGAGCGGATGAATTCTAGACTCCATCCTTCACGTTCTGGCTTGTGTGCCCTCGCGCTTGTGTCCACTAGTTTACATACCCACCATCGATACACATGAATATCTATCAATCAATCAAAAAGTAACGTGCTCATGAATACACGCAGAAAGATGCTACGTCTCCTAGACTTATCATGCGCGAGGTCGAGAAACACTCCAGGCGGCATTTGTGCGATCGATTCATTGGACGAAGGTGAAAATAAGATTTGTTGCCAGGTAGATTGTGTACAGAAAGGCACGTTAGCGCTCAGCTTTCTCGTAAGAGATTATTGATACCAGTCCCATACGCCCCATCTGCCAACCCCACGTCGTCCAGGCAGGAAAAGAGAAAAAACGCCATGTGCTATGCAGAAACTGTCGTGGAAGCAAACATCAAGAGAAAAAGCAAGTACCCTCCGAGAGCGTAGATGAGAGTATAAAAATATGAAAACAGAGGGCGGAGATCAGAGGAAGACTTTCCTAGCCTCTTTCGGATGTCCTTCGACAGGACAATATGGACACTTGAACCTNTCTCGAAACTGTCAGTATGGTTTTTCCAAGCAAGACATTCGTATCAAAACTTACTTGTTTCCCCTGCTGATCTTCTCAAGCGATTCCTTTGCGATTACGTGGCCGCAGGGCAACATCATGGGCGGGTTGGCATCGGTACCTTGCTCCTTGCTGACAGGACAGACAAAGATGGAGTGGAAGAGATATGAGTGCGGTAGTGGAATCTCAACGGGAAGTTCGTTGACACTTGTCCATTGACCTCCGACTTCGCCCATGACGCGCTCAAGTTTCTCGAGTACGGGCAGAGCGATGGCACCAGCTGTTGCGGCGGTGTAGAGGGGGCTCTTTTCGCTCAGGCCCAGCATGGCGCAGAACTCGCGGATGAAGCTAGAAGCAGCGTGTTCCCAGGCGTCCTGGTTGAAGAAGACGTTCTTGTATGGTGATGAAGTCAGAGCGGGTGCAAATGCCAGAGACCCCAGTAGAGATGATGTCTCGCGCATGTAGCGAGCAGAGAAGTTTGGGAAGGTCTGACGAGCATATTCGAGGGCACTCAGAGGACCCGACATGGGGTTATTGGGGTCATGTTGGGTGTATAGCTCGACGAATCGGAGTCGGCACAGATCGAACTCGAGATTTGAGCCCCTGAGCTCGAGTTGATGGGTATGTTGGCGAGCCCACTCGATGGCGGGATTGAGATTGTGGTTGTTGCGTAGGGCGTCCAGGACAATGTACATGTGGGCAAAGCTCGATTGCAGAGCACCGGCACCGTCGCCGTCCATGTCGTAGAGATGGGTACTGGAACCATCCCTCATGAGACTGTCCCCATCTGTTCCATCTCTTGTGGCAGCAGGATTCGGATTGGCGTTTGCTTCTGCGATGAAGGTCTGGGCGACATTGAACTGACCCTCGCGCAAGAGGTGCATGGCGATTGCGCGGTTGGTCAAGGCGGGTTGCGACGAGAGGGCATCATGATGGGAAGCGGGCATGGATTGTGGTTTGAATTTNCTAAGAAAGAGTCAGCGATGATTCTCTCAAGAAACAGCACTTTCACACACCTTATCTAAGGCTTTGGAGTAGTCCTTGTGCGCAGAGTAGATGTCCTTGATGTCCGAGTTGACCTGGTCCAGTGAAGCCTTGACCGGACGCTTCAGTTTGGCCAGTGTCGGCGCACCTGCACTTCCATCTAGCTCATATCAGTACTCGTCATTCTGGCTGATAACCATCGAGTCGAGCATACCGGCAGCTATGCCTTCCCTTGCGGCGACGAGCAAGTCGATCGTCTTTTGCACATCATCAATCGTCTTGGACAAGTTTGCCTTCTTGTCCAGCTTATCCTGCTCCAACCGCAGCGACTCCATGACGCATTTGTTCTTCTTGTCGTGGTAGCAACAGCAAGAGCGATGCCCATCTCGGTGCAGCTCGCCGAAGACGACAATGACGATGCCGCGGGGTCGAAAGGTTCGCTCCGAGGCCCAACCACGCTCGACCGACTCTCGACCACCGCGACAGCCTCAAGGGTAATTATACACAAACAATTCCAAAATCATTCTCGCTCTCTCTTTTCGACCTCCCACAACCCCTCTGTCGCTGATTCTGAAAACATTCACCTTCTCTGCTCCCAATAATCGTCTTCACGTACATTCAAATGCCAGGACAATGATACCGTTTCTGCTGCTCCGACTAAGCGCTCATGAGCACTCCTGCTTCGGCCACAGAGAGGCCTCCCGGTCCTCATAAACAAAACGTCAAACTCGTTACACAAGAAGAACAAAAAGCTATTGAGAATTCAGAAAAGCACTCTCCTAATCCTGATGAGAACGAGCCCAAAGCACCCACACATCAACGTCTTGTGCTCACCGACCCCATCGCCTTCAGGTGAGTCCACCGGATATCGCAAATTCACAGAGACTAAATCATCCAANGATATCTACAAGAAGACCCTGGCGTAGAGGTCATTGAGAGAAGTCAAGAACTCCAAGGCTACGAGATATACGTCGTCGAACAATGGGCCACTTCTCGTACCCATCCCACCTTTGTCATCACCACCTTTACCGGTGATCCACAACATGTCGCTCAGGTCGGTATCTTGAGCGTCCCTACAGACGAGTCTGGCTGGTCCGATCGTCTGCGCGTCTACTTCAAGGCCCTGAACCAATATCATGCCCGTCGGAGGGAGACTCCGCTCGGTATACTGATGATAACAAACCTATCTGGCTTTCCTTCGTCTCTGACGGTCATTCCCGTTCCCGATGGCGACCTCAAAAAGCACCGTTTCGACTTCTTCGTCTCTGAGAATCTCAAGCGTATGGGCTGTTCTGGACGTGTTGGTCTGACATTATCTGCACCCAACAGTGCTACCATCGCCAAGTTCCATCAGCTGTACAAGACCAGTGACAAAAATCCAGTGAACGCATCTGTCATCGAGCTCGTCAAGCTATGCCAGGCCGCTCTCAACATTTTTGATAAACTCGATTTTGATTATGTAGACGGTCTGCTGTGCGACGTTACCGAGAAAGCAGTCAACGACTGGTGGCTAGATATCGGAGCCGAGTTCTATAACATAGAACCACACGATGGTATCCTTGGACCTACTACGGTAGCTGCTTTGCTTGGCCTTTTGATGGGTGCTCGCAATCGACTGAGTGCTGTTGGTGCAACTGTGCCAAAGGACCCTTTTGACATTGAAGGCATGAAACGCGGCATCTCATCTTTTCAAAAAAGCAATCGTCTGGAGCGGACTCGACGACTCGATCGACACACACTTGACAGGTTGCATAGGACATCTGCCAAGGCAGCCAATGCTGAAGGGTGGTCAGTACCTCGTGCCGTCAAGAACACTGTGGCAGAGCTGAGTGGAAAAGGTGGCGAAATGCTTGCAGAGGTCGTCGGAAAACGCGACAAGGCAGGTATCGCCGATATCGAGACGTCGTACATTGACAGATTTGAGCAGCTTGTTTACGGTCAGCGCTGTAAATGGCTATGGCTTGGGAAACCTCTCAAGAGCCAATCTGTCGACCTCAAGGACCAGAAGCAGAATGATTACGACAGAGGCTTCGGTCGCATTGAACGAAAACATACACAAGAGTCGATTCTAACAGCACGGGCGGTTTCTGACGAGATCATGTCGCCTACATGGTCTTCTAGCAGAGAAGGCGAAGGCTCTATCAAGGAAGAAACCCATCTTCATCGCTCTGTGACGAAACGAGCGACAGGGCTGTTCAACGAAGGCAGACGAGGCTTTGACAAATTCAAAGATGCCGTTCGCGGCCACCACCCGAAAGGTTCGAAAGACGAGTCGCCAATCTCACCTGCAGATCCTTCGCGGCAAGACTTCAAATTCCCTCAGACGCTGCAGCGAATCAATTCAATATCGCCACCTGCAAGTCCTAGGATACAGCAAGGCGCGGACGGAAGCCTGGACCAAGTTCTACAGCAGCGAGAGCAGCATGCAAAGTCTGATACTGCTGCACGTACCGATGCGCAATATTCCAACCACCTCCTCTCCAGCCCTCAGAATCAAAACAACAGCGTGTTCCCAGTCGAAGACCCACAAAGAAAAAAATCGGAAGAAGAAGCACGAGCCAAAAGCGACAACGACACCGATATCGACGGATTCGAAACAATTTCTCGTACAATCAGCGGCGAACCTTCCATCTCAATAGCAGGCTCCGACTACCACGGCGTCGACCTCAAGCAAGTACTCCCTGGACCTCCAGATCTAGCTCAAGACATTGGCCCCCTCCTCCGCCGCATTCATTCCTACAGCGACTTCGAAACCCTCCNNACTCTAAAAACCCGCCCAGACAGTTTTTACCCACGCCGCCTCAGTTTTTCAATCGCCGAAGACAGTATTCTTCCTCCCTCGCCTCTATTGCTTGCACCTTCCTCTCCGTTACCACAGCACCTCGCCCTCCCTGACCAGTACACCCACGAATCAACAATCTCCAGCGATCTCAAAGCCTTGCGTGCCGAAATTGCCACTTTGGACCGTAAAGAAGGTTCCTGGACGCGCGACCAATTACTCGAAACTTCGCACTTGCTCACCCAAGCAGATGAAGACCAAAGCTATCTGGACTCCATCTACCGTCCTTCAGCATCAAACCTACAAGACCTTCGAGACGCTAGTGAAGCTTTGTTGGTCGACGAACGCGATGCCCTACACGAAGGGGCCAAAGAACTAGAAACACTGGCCCAAAGACTGGACTATGAGATTGAAGGGTTAAGAGGTAAAGTCGAGGATGTAGAGATTAATGTTGATGACTTTGAGAGAGCTGTTATAGGCATCGAGGGACGCATCGATGAGTTGGAGGATTTAGGACAGGGTAAGGGGGTTTGGGGGTGTGTGGTTTCTTAGCTTTTGCTTTGTCTTTTTTCTTTTCTTGTTCGAGTGGTGTATAAATCTTCTTGTTGGATTGTTTCATGCATAGCTGTGTCTTGAATTGTATAGTATTTTCAACGATCGAGTGCCTTTGACAAGACCTTGGCCACGAATCCCGAAGTGGTCGTGTTTGCTCTGCCTCTGATTGCTTTCTCCAGAATTCGTTGGTCCCTCATGAGCCGCATGTTTGTCATTTTTCGGGCACCGGAGTGTGAAGGGATGGAAAAGTGCAGTTCGCTAGGCAAGAAATTGCAGAACATTCTATTCGTTTCTAATATACATGATTACATGATCCTCTCTCTTTCAAAACAGCTTAGAATTTGTAGACCTGGTCCTTGTTGTAGCCAAGCTCGGCGAGCATACCAGTAAGGTCACCCTGGTCCTTGGGGCTCTTCTTGGGGCCGGCGATGGCCTTGTACATGCCAGGGGGACCGCAGACAAAGACCTTGATGTTCTCCTTGCTAGGGTCGGGCAGGACAGTCTTGAGCAGCTCGGTAGTGATCATACCCTTGGCACCGGGCCAGTCCTCTGGGGGGTTGTTGAGGGTGTAGAAGGCGCGCATGCGGTTGGGGTACTTGTTCTCGAGGTCTTCCCATTCGCGCTTGAGGAGGACGTCCTCCTCGGAAACATTGCCGAAGACGAGAGTAACCTTTGTGTTGTCGTTGGGGTTGTTGAAGATGGCGCGGGCGAGCTGGTACATGGGGGTGATGCCGGTACCACCAGCGATCAGGGCGATGTGGTCGTGCTTGTTCTCCTCCCAGGGGTACTTGGGGATGGGACCCTTCATGTCGAGCCGTTGTCCGGGCTCCATGTTGTGGAGGTGCTCGGACATGGGACCACCAGGGTACTTCTTTACGATGAAGTCAATGTAGCCAACGGTGCTCTCGTCGCTGACGGGGGTGTAAGGACGAATGACGGGCTTTTGCATCTCGGGGCCCTTGAACTTGGTGATGAGAGCAGCTGCAGATGTGTCAGTGGTGAAATGGACAATGCGACAATGGATTCACGTACAGGCAATGCTAAGACCAGAAACGCTGTTCTCCTCGGGAAGGTGGAAACGGAGTTTCTTTGTGTTGTGGTTGATGACCTCGCTCTCCATCAGCATCAAGCTGACGAAGCCCTGGTCGCCGCCAGTGAAGCACTTGGAGGGGTCGGCAGCCTGCTTGGGGATGTTGGCCTCCTCGGTCTTGGAGGCGGGCTGGCCGTAAGCACCGCTCTCGTTGGTGTTGCCGTGCTGGCCTTCAGCCTGGGCACGCTGCGAGTACATGTAGCCGGCAATACCGGCACCAACGGCGACACCAGAGTAGAGGAGGGTGTTTGAGCTGGACTTTGCGGCGGCCTCGGAGGCGTAGCGGCGGACATGCTGAAGGACGTGTTAGAGGCGGGCGGTTGCGGCGCGTGAGGGCAATGGTGGACGTACGCTGGCGGCTGTCCTCGCGGGACGGAAGACTGATCTGGCGAACATGATGACTAGATATTACAATATGTGATGAGAGGAGAGGAAAGAAGGAAGGAGCTCAATTGATGGAGAAACGGCTGAGAGCGTCTTCCGCGAGGCCGGCGGAAAGATGATGCAACGTCATGTCCGTGCTCTGGTCAAAGAATCGCGTCTTTCCAGATCTGTATCCACTTTGTTCTCTGTTAATTACCTGATAAGCATGTTGACTCTGTGTCTGCATGTTTTGATATATCCGTATGAGTACCTAGCTTCCAAGATGACCATGGTGATGGTAGAGTTGGCAAGCGCGACCTTCTACTGCTGCATGATGGCAAAGCTTTCGGCAGGAGCTACCACGGAGGCCGAGCGGTGGTCAAGCACGAGATAGAATATGCAAAAGTCACAAGATAAACACATGCCAGGTCGACAAGATTGATTCGACGTTTGCAGAGAAACTCTCAACGAGCTCATGACCTGAAGGCCTCCAGTGTCCGTTTGCAGCTTGTGATTATAGCGTGGAGATAAGCACGCAAACGCCGGCGGCCATGTCCATGTCCAACTTTTCGCAAGACACCAACTTTGATTCTGTCACTGCTGTCGCCATGAGAATCCGGTTGCAGGTGCTCAGGCATCAACTGCCGCCGACCAAGGTCTTGTGGAAGGTCGACAGTGCCACGACCACCGCTGAGCTCCTTACGCAGATCAGCGACTTCTTTCCTCTTGAAGCCGAAGGTTGGGGTCTGGAGGATTACGCTGTCCACCTTGGTGGCTATGAGTTGCTGCACTTTCAGCAGTTGGGCGACATTCTGAAGGAAGACGATGAGGTCGTGTAAGTCTCGGATAACCTGTAGTCTGTTCCGACACGATACTGACGCCTGGCCAGCATCCAACCACTGCAAACCAACGACATTCGCGCCAGAAACCTCTCGGGCAGACACCAGATCTCAAGAGACGGCAGACATCTCGTAGACGGCATCGCATTCGGAAGACCTCTACTACGCGCACCCGCCCACGCTCCCATTCACATCCCTCCTCGCAAACGCGCCAGGCTCGACCCATCCCTAGAAGAGTCGGACGCCGCTCTACAATTGGGCGACTTCGGTCCATCTCCTTCCGATCCAGAACCCCGTACACGAACCAAGACTCAGAAGCATGTCACTTTCAGCCCTGAATTCCTGCAAGCCGACTACGAGGACAATGGCGACATGATCTTCGACGACTACGATGATGAAGACGATGAGCTCTATGATCCTTCCGATGACGGCTTTGATTATATGGTTCCCGGAGAAGAGATGGGACTGCTCGAAGATGGTCGAGCCTCGGTGTCTAGCTCGGACGAATCATCCAGCGATAGCGATAGCGACAGCGACGACGACGACAGTTCTGACTCTGACGACAATGACAAGAGTGGCAGTGATAGTGACGCTCCCTCGGAAGAGCCTATCAACAAGAACAGCAGCTCCATCGAAGCACTCTCAAGACTCAAGACGGCCGCTCCACCCGCGAAACAGGCACCATCCACGAAACAAGCTCCCCCTAGTGATGGTAAGCAGCGAACTCGTGCTAGGAACCGACGCCGCCGTGATGCAAAGAAACTCACCTGGCTCAAGTCTAAGGGCCTTCTGCCTGCAGGCGCCACGCGTCAGGATCTCAAGAAATGGAGAGAGGAGAACGAAACAAGCCGTGTCTCTGCTTCGGAATCTGATTCAGACGACGAGTCTTCCAGCTCAGATTCCAGGTCCAGCTCCGACTCAGACTCAGACTCTGAATCTGAGACTGAACAAACAGTCAAACCTACTCAGNCCTGCAGTCAAGAAGCCTGTGCCCATGGTCCCAAGACAACTAAAAGTCAAGCCCAAGCCAAAGAAGNNACTCTCACAGAACCAAAGTCTGACGAATTCAATCAGAAGAGAGAGGCCCTCCTGGCTGCCTTGCAATCTGGTGGTATCGACGTCAACAACGATCTGTCAGCTCCCTCAGAAGACGCCGTCATGAGCGATGCTGGCCCCAGCATGATGTCTGCAACCACAACCAGCACCACTCCGCAGCCAGAAGCCCGTAGAGCCAGGCTTGATCTTGCGAGTTCCAATCGTCTTCTCTTCAACTCCCTGGGTGTCCGCGCGCCCAAGAATGACGCCGACAGACAACGCCTGCAAGCCAAACTCGCTGCTCAAACCACACGCAAGCCAGTCACAAAACCTACGACCGCTGCCGCTTCTGTTGAACAACAAGAAGAGGAAGGTCCTGCCGATGTTGACGCCTGGAAGTCCAAAATTTCCCTCTCTGCTGTCGAATGTGCACCAGGATCAGAAGAGTATTACTATTCGACTCCGCCCTTCCCATTCTACCAGCGTTGGGACCCTAGTCAACATACCAAGAAGCGCAAACGCGGCTCCCAGGCCTTCGATTCCTCCAAGCTACAACGCACTGAGGAAGAGCTCGACAACAGCTATAGCGAATACTACAATGAAGGCGCCGATGGTGATGCTCTTAATTACGGCGACGATGAAGACGAAACTGCTGGTGCAGCGCAGGAAGCTGATCAGGAAGCCGCTACCGCGCAACTCCTGGCAGAGTCGTCGGACGCCGCCGACTTGCCACCTCTACCATCCGATCTTTCCACCTTGCCCCTCTTGACAACAGAAACCACACTTCCCGGCGCCATCATCACCTTCACGCAATTCGAAGTCTCGGCCGCTACCAACTGGGCACCTGCCATGTCTCCTGTGCGCACTGCTTCCATCCAACACATTTCCGATGATAAGAGCTTGGGATTGCAGTTAGCCAAGCGCGATATTCCCGGTCGTAAATATGACAATCAAGGTCGCAGACTCTTTGACAAGTTTGAAATGATCACTGGTGATGAAGAGGACGATGATGCCGATGATGGCTTCTTGGAGGTTGAGCTGGGTGAGTTGATCGATCCCAGACTACTTCAGGCTGCTGGTGCTGTTGAGAATGGTGCTGAGAATGAGGAGAAGTAGGTGGCCTCGAGTGGAGAGCAGACTGGTGAGATGATTGGTGTTGCTTTGTAAGAATGATTTTACTCTATAATGCGCAAGATGCGACGATACCCACCACACATTCAAAGCTTTAGTTCCATCTTTGCTTCCACTATTCACTTTCTGCTATATTGCCCTCCGCTATCCAAACGTAAAATGTGATCTTGGATGTATGTGATGTCTCGAGATGCTTTGCTATCTGTATCCTCGACCTCACCTGACTTTTCCATGTTCTTAATATCCGCTTCGATCATCCAAATACGAATGACTGGTAGATAGGCAACGACCCACTCAGAATGGGCAGTTGCGAATATTGTTGCAATAGCCGCAAATCTACTCGTAAGAGTTCCGTTACCTGCCATTCACATTCCAGCGCTTTGAATCTTTCCATGAAATCCAGTATATATGACAGCTGTCTTTTCCTCTGCAAGCAGGTCTGCGTGCTCGAAGGCAGTGATCCCCAGTCGTCTTCAACCATTGACTTCCAATCATCAAGCTTGGTATGGACGACTTCGAGCATCTCATTTTCCTTGCTCAGAAACTCCATCTCCAGATCCTCGGGCAGCATACCGTTGTCGAAAGATGCTTCGAGTGTAAAGTCTGGCTTGAATGTGATCTCGTAGTTGAGAGATGGTTTGTCGTTATAGCCATAAGGCCTCCTAAGGAAGAGTTGGTTGTTGATCATGGGCTCTGACGATGACCAAAAGTGGTCTTCGCATGCTCCCATATTCATACCATCCAGAGGTTTGATCGACGCACTGCGTGCATGCTCAATCAGCCATGCGAAAGGCGAGTCTGCAAAGGCAGAGAGATCCAGGCGCTTCTTCTTCGGATGCATGGTAACACCATCACGGATGCGGATGATGGAGAGTTTTGGGGTAAGAGCGTGGACCTTGTAGAGTCCTTCTACGAGAAAAGCACATGAGGAATCAGGTTGAGGGGTCCCAGAATAGCATACGGGTGGAACGCCAGGAGTCCCATAAATGTTGAGAGAGAACTTTTCAGACAAGACATCGATGTATGCGGCGCGGATATTGTGCGAGACGTGAAGAAGAGGGTGTGTAAGAGCATCTTCGTCTGCCTCTTCGAAGACTTCCTTGAAGATGGCAAGGTGAAGCTCGGTTGGGAGGTCGGATAGTCCAGGCATCTTGTTAATGCGATTTCTTGAGGTCTGTTGACGTATCTGATGTAGTCGATATATCTGGTGTGGTTGAGGTGTCTGGTGTGGTTGGTGTATCTGATGTAGTTGATCGGCTGGAGTGGTTCGATACTTTGGAGGCAGATAGGAAAGAGAAGAAAAGAGAGGAAAAAGAGGCAGGCACGAACGCCAAAATATATGTGGGAAGCGAAGAGTCACAGGTGCTGCGCTCGGGAAACAAACTCATTCTGACTCCCATACCACGTGCTGCTCGATTCGATAGGTATACCTTTTCGAGTTGCTGAATTTTAGCCCGAGCGTTGAACGGACAAAACACACATGACTTTAAGAAATAGAGGATGCTCGCTACAGTATCTGTGTTTTTTCAGCTCTCTTTGCAGTCATTGTGCTTCAAACTCATGAATCTGTATGGTGTGCACCGATCAACTATGTGGAGAGATACCTTGCCAGAGCAAGCAGTAATGTATTCGAGTCGTATGGTTCGAGAGACATGGAGTAGAGGATGGGCGACGGCGTATTCATCGGCATCTTCGAAAACGTCCTTGAAGATCATGAGGCGGATTTCTGTAGGCAGGTCCATCATCTCAGTAGAGGTTTGGCAGGAGGAAAGATTGTGTTGCCGCGTTGTTCGTGGCATTGCTGGTATCAAATTGTCGTAGTATGTATCCATCTTGAAGATTTCTGGTGAGCGGAAGAAGAAGGAGAAGAACCTGGTCAGAAAGGGCAGAAGTACAACAAGGACGAATAGTTCTCAAGCCAGCTGTGTTGGCGTAAACTCACTCTTCCAAACTCCTGGCTCGCCTTTGACTCTATTCGTCAGTCAGTCATAATGCGATTTGACTCTTGAGTAAGGGTGTGTGATGTGCCTGGAACTTAGATGGTGCTTGTTGGAGAACGATGACCAAGACCTTACAATGGTGATTGACGAGCTCTGGAGGAAGTGGTCTTAATGCTAGATCGACTATGGCCCGTATTGGTGTTACATTGTATCTGCCAGGGTAGAGAACAGAGCTCCGGATCGCATATCAAAACGCTACCTCACAGTACTGGATCGGAATGTGGAAGAATATTGCAGCATGGCATCACAGAAAGAAGGTGCAAAAAATGATTAGACACGGCAGACCACAGCTTTCGCTTCAGTAAGCAGTCACTACATGATAGCAAAAGTGCAAAAGAAGATTCCGACACGGGGAATTGAACCCCGGCCTCCTCGGACCTAGTTGTTCTTTCGAACGGTTTGAGAGCGAGAAATCCTAGCCACTAGACCATATCGGATGCTGTTGAAGCACACTACGTTTTTTGTCTATATGACCCAAAGTAACTCATATGAGCACGCTATCATCGCGTGCGCCCACCTTGGTTACCCCAAGCCCCACCCTACGTCATGCTTATGATGCTATACCCAAGCTCTTCTTGTGATAAAGGCCTTGCAACATCTACGAGTCTACCTACCTCAATAACACCACAAATCTTCTCATACACACAATCCAAAAAAATCTCACTGTCAAGTAATAATTTGAAACCCATCGAACAGTACGAGTGCCAATCTCACTTCTCATCTGTATTTCACTAACACCTCTCAGAACAACACATACACACACAATGTCTTCTCGCACCCTCCACCTCTTCCGCTCGACCCGCATGCAGCGTCTGCGCTCCTTCCCACCCACTTTCCGCACCTTCGCCGTCTCTCCTTTCCGTGCCATCAAGGAAGACGCCTCGCGCAGCCCCGAAGAGCTTGAACGCACAAAGCAAGAACAACTCAAGGCTCAAAAGGAAGGCAAGGCGCAATGGAACGAGAACTTGGCTTCTGCAGGCGAGGCCAGCATTACAGCAGACAAGCAGGATGTCAAGGATCACGATAGCCACATGGAGGATTTGCAGAAGCAGACGGCAGGACAGGCTGAGAAGGAACACCCGCATGGAAAGAAGAACTAGAGAGAGAATGATGCGATCAGTTTTGTAGTAAGGGAATTTTAGTCGGCCTGCTGGCAGGCGTATGTATAATGAGCATGTCATGTTATTTCACACCCCTGTTCAGTGGTCTCCTCCATGCCTTGACGCCAAACCTACGGAAGCTTATTTATACAGAACTCTAAGAGGGAAGATGGTCACCGAACGGTCAAGAATTGGGAGGCCACAGACGTGTATAGTATTGTAACAGGAGGGAGCGCACCCTCAAGGCTGGCATCAGCAGATTTGTATTCTCGTTCGCCGTAGTGTTGATCATTCTCTACCCATTCGAGCAAGCTCTCATAAAGTGCACTGGGAAGGCCAGGGTCTTCCTGGCACGGAGTCACTCCAACCCAAAATACCGATCTTTTCTCCATCCGTGCATGTTCTTCTGCCTGCCTCCTATGCGCCTTGTCGAGGTGGATTGATGTGAAGAGGTCATGTTCACTTCGGAGTTGCACGTATGATGGTGCTAGAAACTGGCGATACAGTGTTTGATAGTCGTGATAATGAAAATGTCGAGTCCAGTGGCTCTTTCAATCGCCAGTGTCGAGCTCGAGGTCCAGTTGTACACCGTTGCTGACACCGTAATCGTCCAGTGTGAGATGGTCCTTGAAAGGTCGTTCACCCTGTCTCTTTAACATGATCTCATGAGGCTGACGACCAATACGTGCAGCAACCATGGCCTTGAACGCNTTCTACACTAGAAGTCAGCATGGTCCAAGGATAAGATCAAAGCGTAGAGAGCACTTACTAACGGGGTCACTACCTAGGCAAGGAATAGCAGCCTTGGTTCCCAGACGATCATTGACATTGACAATAATCATAGGCTCAGCACGGCTTGGAGCAGCAACAGGTTTCGGCTTCTTCTCCTTCTCTTTGTCTCCCTTGGGTTTATCCTCCTTTCTCTTCTCTTTTCTCTCGTCCCTGCCTCCATCACGTCTGGGCGAGCGTCTTCTGTCACCTCCATCTCTGTATCGATCACGGTCATCCCGTCTCGGCGATCTAGGGCGGTAGCTATCCCTGTTGCCATCACGTCTAGGTGATCGATCACGGAATCTGTCGCGATCGTTGTCGCTGCGGCGGGGTGGTGGAGGAGAGCGGCGAGGCGCTTCATCGCGATTGCGGTCATCAAAGTCGCGGCTGAAGCTGTCGTTTGCGCGCGAGCCCTTGTCTTTCCAGCGGAATCCTCCTGATGATCTTGGCTTTCGTAGTGGTGAGCGCGAGCGGCTCTTGTTCCTGGGTGGCGAGGGTGGCATCTTTGCGATGTCTTGTGTTTGTGAGAGAGAGGAAAGATCGGTCCTGGAAAGTTGAGTCTAGAGCTTGGATGGTCAGGGTTGTGGTTCGTCAGACGACGCTTTGCGCGTGCGAAATATGTCACTTTACATACCATTTTACTTGTCAACTCTCTACATCTGATTTCATCAAGTCGGATCTACTGTTACAATTGGGAAGTTGAAACCACGATGAAAACTATGTTGACTGTGAAACGGCCATCGCCAACCACGGTGCTGTACAAAGTGTCAACTCGCTCAGCAAACAACACAGTCCCAGCACGAGTCCGTCGCACACTCATCGGACTAGTCAGAATACTGATAGGCCTCACTCTACTATGTATTCTCATTGCAAAGGCCCACACATCAGCCACTCCCCGCTGGAAAAGCCATACCGACTACGCCTCTACTTTCCTCCCTCCAGCGCTGACCGAACCATCTACGAGTTCCGCAGCGCGAGTTCCCTGGCTCTACTTGGCTCCTATCAGTCTGGTTGTATTTTCTATCATCTTCAAGAAGGGATATACTACAGAATCTCTTCTGGTCATTCGTGGAATGGGTGTACAGACGACCACGAGCAGTCCGACATATCTCAGTACTGCGACTACGAGATTTATTCCCACCAACATGATTCAGGATATCTTCGTGTACGAGGCTTTCAAGGGCTTTGAAGTCAGGTTCTATTTGGCTATTGTGGTCGAGGGTGAACATGATGTTGTTGTGGTCTTTCCTGTAAGCTACCATGAAGTCTACATGTACAAATCGATGCTGATAGTAATGACAGNNAGTATACTTCCAAGGAGGCGGGTTTTGGAAGAGGTTTGGAGAGGCGCGAAATCATGTTTGTATGAGCCAAAGTCCTAGACAGTGGCTTATTCTACTCGTCTCCCTCATCCTTGCGCATGAACTTGGGCTTATAGGGACCCTTCCTCTCGAGATACCTGGCGTTCACCACTTCAACAGGCTCCATCCTCTGTTTACGAGCAATGGAAACATATGTGCCTACTGGCCTGGGCCAATCGCCGCCATCAAACAGTCTAGGACTTCTCTCGATCGCTGGAGGCAGCTTGACATCTGCAGGGGATCGCTTGCCTTGTGCAGCGACAATGTCCATCAGACTGCCGGCCAGAATCTCGTCCATCTTGCGCTTGTGCCAAACCTCCCATATCGAGTCCATGATTCCGCCCTTTCCAAACTTGCTGTCTCCACCATCCAGATCGGGACGCTTGTTTGTCTCGCGACCGCCGGTTTCGCCCACATAGATCCAATCCATTGCATCCTCTCTGCTCTGATCATTATCTTCATGATCGGGGAAGATGCAGTCCCAGAGGACTAGCGGAGCGTCTGTTGCCATCTCATACTTTGGCCTTGTAGGATACTTCTCCATGTCCAGCAGATCTGAGATGATTGACGGAGGCTCGAATCCTTGACCGACCAGGAACAAAACTGCAACCAAATGGCGCACCTGGTGCCACAAGAAAGCGGATCCGTTGACATCGAAGGTATAGATTTTGGGAATGCTCAAGTCACCATTCACCCCGGTCTTGTGTTCACCACTTACAGCCTGAGCAAAGGCTGGGTGTGAGATGAAACCTGCAGGCGTCTGACTTACATCCACCTCCTCGATCGACGCCTTGAAGATCCTCCTTTCAAAGTTCGTAATCTGTTTGGCCGGATCCACCTTGCAGAAGTTCCGGAAATCGTGTAGTCCCTCGTATCTCTTCGCTGCATCGCGCATGGCATCAATATCCAAATATCCTTCTCTTAATGTCTTTCCAGCTGCCGTAGTCATCAATCCTGCATCTCCGGGGACAGGCGCAAACGCAGGTTGGGTGAAGAAGTAACGGTATCGGCGTTCGCGACAGTTGAATCTGGCATTGAAGTCGGCAGGTGGAGTAGGGCACCAAGCGAGCACTCTGATGTCCTCTGGCAAGACGCGGTTGAGCAGTTGGATATACGGTAGCTCGTCCCTGATATGATCCCAAGGCTTCTCTGGCTTCTTGTCCTCTTCCTTGACTTCTTGCTCTTTCGCATTTCCTTCTACTCCTTGCATAGCATCTGGGTTCTCTTCCTGCGTTGGCTTTTCCTTTGGCATGGGCTGCAGACTACGGACGCGGATACCGATGACTTGGCCAAAGGCACTGACACCTCTATCCGTCCTGCCACATTTTGAGTAATCTGTGCCTTCCCAATCGATCTCTCCTTCCTTCAACTGGCTCTGCCTCGAAGGAAAGATCAACCTTGTTTTTGTCAAGGCCTTCCACAACTCTTCCTCGATAGTGGGCAACGGTGTCTTGTTGCCTGTATGATGTTCAAAGCCATTGTATCTCTGGCCCAGATATGCAAACTTTAGCGCAATATGTCTGGTGTTGTAGCGACTGGCATCGAAAGGGCGATCTGCCTTCTGCTTCTTCTTGGGAGGCAGTAAAGTCGAAGGATCAGGAATGGGAGTGATGCGATTGTTTAGGAGCTGAGTTTCTAGATCTGCTATGCGTTTCTGCAGTTGGGCGGGTGTCCAGGTGGTGTAGTCTGGTGTTGCCGCCGGGTCGGGGAGGCCCATTCTTTTTCGTCTGGCTCGGCGGGATGTGCTGGTGCTGGCTCGTGTAATGATGTACGAGGTGAGAGGCGCAAATGTCGACACTCCTGGATTTGGAAAAGAGCAACTCGGGGTCGAGATCAATGACCGGAGGGTTGGGCGCATGTGGTTGTTGAAGCGGGCATTAATTTTTGTGACTTTCAAGATTCATGATGCTCATCGTGGGGCAGAGATGCCAAGACCCGCCGAGGGACCTTACCTTACCATCAGCACTTGCGAGCAAGGGGAGCTTTTCTCTAGCTAGACACCTGCTTGTAAATACCTTGGGTATATTGGTATCACAACAGATTGTGCCAATCGGGTGCTTTATCTGGTAGTCTTGATATAATCATCGATTCGTTGTTGTACTATTATTTGAGCTCGACGCTGTCTTGACTTGGTCGGCTACTGCTCAAGGTACGCTACTCAACTCCTCCCTGTTGCTAGATCTGGTCATCGCATGAGCGACTTCTATTCATGGACAACCCGTGTCCGCGAGATCTCGTTTGATTTGGAAAACCATCAACAACGTGCTCAGCCCGTTCGATAACTCAAGCTGAAGTCAAACAGCGGAAGTAATTCCTTGACGCTGGCTTTGGCCGACTGTCCGACTCGCCGACTTGAGTAACCCCGGTCCTTTTTCGTGCTGTGTCCGACTCCAATCTCCCCAGACAGCAAACGAAGCGCCATTTGTTGTTGTGTCCAACCTCTCTCCTCCACCACTTCCGATCCGAAGGGGATATTGAGCAATATTGGCTTCAATATTCTGGCAAGGCTGGGGACGCAGTCCCAGCCAACCCGGATGCAGAGACGCGGCATGCTGTCATGACGGCGTATTGTCGGTCGGCGAGAAAGAACTCGTTGGGACCGATCAAGCTCACCATGCGCTGCGGTTGTGGCTTGTTTTGGCTTGTGAATTTTCATGTGCAAGTCTTCCAGAAGTATCATTTGCTTGGAAGCCCTGCCAGCCGCTTATCTCATTCAGGGGCCTGCAACGAGCGACATGCGGCGTGCGAGCGTGTTTATCGACGGCAGCTCCATTTGGAAAGGGTTGAGTGTCTGCCATGCGTTGTTGACGAAAGACTGGAGCCACTGTTCCTCTTCCTCTGCCATCTTCATCTGAACCTTGGCCAGTTTCGAACGCTTGATCGTGATACCCGGCACCACGGACTGTCTTCTCGGGTAGATCGTCTTGGTCGGGGTCATGAGGGACAGTTTGCGCTCCGAGAAGTATGAGAATGAGGGAAGGGGAACATCTTCCGGAGTTCCAGGTGGTGTCATGCATAGCTCGAGCTTTTCACATTGACGCATCAAGTCCTGCATTCCAAGGTTCAAGTCTTCGGCCTTGGGCTCAACGTATTCGTAGTACTCCGGGCCCCACAGTTCGTCTTCCTTGAGAGCATCACGCAGAGAACGGAGGAAGAAGTCGAATGAAGGAAGTGTAGGGCCATCACCAGGTTCTGGGCCCTTTGCGCATGATAGCATACACGCGGCAATCATTAGTCTGATCTGAAACTCGGCGTCCAAGGCGTGTTGGACAACGCAAGCAGGGCAGTTCTTGCTAAGACACCAGTCCGCGTCATCGGCCAGGAAGGACGTCAGCCAGACAAATGCGTTACGGCCCTTGTTCCTGAATGCAAACTCGATATCCTCCGGCTTGATAGCCTTGGTGTACTTTTGGGCAATCCTTGTTGTGTGATCGTGAAGTGCTACAACGGGTGCGAGTAGGGCGTGGAGAATATCCCTCATGAGGATCCAGGCTTGTTGGTCCTCGGTGACATCTGTTTCGTGGTCCTTGCAAAAATCATTGCAGCATTCGTTCGAGAGATGGTCGCGGAGAATGCTAAAACCTTCCGAGTCTTCTAGCAAGATGGCATCCTGAACGGTGATGAGGAATGGTGTAGCGTTAGGCGAGGAGAGACACGATGTAGTGGAAGGCATGTTGGCGGCGAGTATGGCTGACACTGAGGGGAGTACATAAACACCAGACGGACGAGAGAAACCTTGATAGAGGGAGGGAGAGGGCGTTCATCATACATATACCTGGCTGGCCGTTTAGCGCCAATACTTAATTCAGGAATCAAATTTGGCTCTTTTTACGCCATGTGAACATGCTCTCAGGGTTCATGACCTCTGGTCAGGGCACTTCACCGGCGGAAATAGTCCTACCGCATGGACAATGACACATGACCGCGACTCGAGCGAGAGATGCGACTAGTAGCGTTTGCGGACCAACCGCTCAAAGACATTTGCTTTCTTTTACGAAGAAACAATGGCTTCCTCGAGTCAAGGACTCACGCATTGGAGATTGCTGTTCCGACGACTTGCAATCACGATCGCCTTGCTGAAGTCTATGCCTTTCCCTGCCTCCTGAACCAACCGGAGCGCATCCCATCGTTGCGACTCACAAAGCCGGAAGGCTGTTCTGCCCTTTGGGCAGCCTTGTCTCACCTCGACTTACCGCCTCGGCTCAAAGGCGGTTGAAGCTGGCTCTTCCTCGGCAAACTTCTGACGAAGGTGGCTTCAGATTTGGCGAACAGTTTCAAACTGTGGAGGCAGGCTGGAAGCATCGAGCCGCGATGTCGTCCCGCTCGAGAGATGCCATGGGGAAAAACCAATGCGATTTCGATACTGTTGCGGCGCTGTTGTTTCCCCTCCCAGCAACCGTTGCAAGTCGACGACGTATCTTGTTGCCCATCATCCTATATATTGCCTGTAGCATCCCACCTAGACCCTTCTCTTGTCTTTGCGCCCGATCAATTCATGTCATGGACCCCGCATAGTCAAAGAGCATGCGTGTCCGCGCTTGAGGCGCTGGGGGACTGATCTAGAACGGACAAATGTGAAGCCTTTGGACTCTGAACATAGCCGGTCCCTTCTGTCTCAGCCTATTGTATGTGACTTTGGCTTTGCGAGATACCTCTACCGGCTGATTTGTTTTGACTTCGCGAGCAGCAACACGTGGGAGCCTATGGGGTAGAGACGGTGGATATGGGGAGTAACCGTCAAGGACTCGGGGTGAAGACATAAGATGACTACTGACCGCTGCAAGCGACGGGCTTCTTGATTGAGCCGACAGTGGACAAGACGATTGCCGACAATATCAGGCTAGAACTCCAGTCTTGCGAGTAGCAGTGCGCTGTCCAACTTGACATCATGCTTGAAAGCGACCATGTTGTGCAGCGAGAACAAATCTACGGCGACTACTCTCGAATGTTGTGTTGTGATGAAGATGAAGAGATGTCGGTATACCTACTTCGGTCGTATCCATGTTCCGTAGAGTTTTCGTACTCGGACGTGTGCTAATTTTCGCTCAAAGACCGAGCATGTTCGGCTGGGCAAGTGAAATCTCAAATATCTGCCATCTCACTGTTGTTCATAGATTTGACAAGCACTCGACGAGCGGAGCAATGACCATCAACGGAAGGGCACATCAATCCGGCACTGATTCTCGGTATAAAAGAGCTCTTGCTAGATGTCCAGTGCTTAGTGATGCCAACCTATGGACTTGTTGCAAGTGCCCTGGAGTCGCCAGGGGTAACTCTGTCAGGCATCGGTCGGCAGCCAGACTAGAATCAAGACGAAAGGGCTGATGCCGCGAGTTCAAAGACTCGAAGTTTCTGAGTCTGCTGCACCAGTGACCATACGAAGACTCACTCATATTTGTGTTTTTGGAGTGGCTGACAGTGTGTGGCTGGTGCATAACAAGGCTTGAAGAGCGGCTTGATCTGCTGGTGAGCGTCCACGACAAACCACGCGGCCTCTCTGACCAAGAGTACGGCCAGCCTCTTCAAGATGGTACACCACAAACCTTGTTGGAAACTGCTCTGGGGGCAAGCCGTAGACAGCGGCAGAAGAGCGCCGCATCCGCGGCTCCAAAACTTGAATTGCAAACACTTTCAGGAGATTGTTGGCGGAAGCCGTTGCCAGGCACGGACCACTTGTTGTTGTGACAGTTCAACGCAGAAGAATGCTGTCGGCAGTCAAGAAAGGCAACGCTGTCAAGTGCAAGATTGTTTGAAAGATGTAGTGCCGCTGCTCACCAGTATCACATCTGAGTGTGCCTGCGTATTGACAAGCATATGATCTACAGTTCTCCATGGGGATGGATGGATTGCGCGATGAAACTGCAGTGGATCCCCTCAGCCTGAGCCAGATCATCCTTCTTGATGCCGCTAAAACATGGACTAAAGTCAAGTTGGGATTATAGATAGGTGGTGGTGGCCGACGACTTTTTCTATTTCACTCGAGTACGACCTGCTTCTGTTGTTTCACTCTTTGCGCCGGGCTTTTCTTCGACTGTCCTTCACTAGTCACTCGCTCATCTTTTGTTCTCGTGTTGTTTGAGGAAGCCATAACCCCTTGCCTCGTTTGTCTTCGTATCCGCTCAACAACGGCATCAATCAACCTTCTAAAATCTCTTATCATCAGACATAATTTTTCTGTCAATTCTGCTTGAATTCTTCCAAGCAGTTTAATCTCGAACAACATGCGTTCTTCTCTGAGCATCGCATGCGGTCTCGCATTTGCCACAGTTGCCTCTGCGATTCCCACAATCTCGGTCAAGGGAAGCAAATTCTTCACCAGCGATGGCAACCAATACTTTGTCAGAGGTGAGCGATATGACATCTGCCAATTGGGACATGCCAGATTAACGATCTAATCTANNGGTATTGCTTACCAGCTTGTTCCCGAGGACCCTCTCGTCGACAACACCCAGTGCTCATTGGATGCATCGTTGATGAAGACTCTGGGTGCTAATGCCATCCGTGTCTACCACGTGGACCCGGAAGCTGATCACCAGGCCTGTATGAAGACTTTCGCAGACGCTGGAATCTACCTCTTCGTTGATCTCGACACTTTCACCACTCAGATCGAGCAGACCAGCCCTCAATGGAACCAATCTCAGTACGATGCATTCGCCAAGGTCATGGATGAGTTCCAACAGTTTGACAACACAGCTGGTTTCTTTGTTGGCAACGAGGTTCTGACTACAGGCAACGGCAGTGTGGCCGCTCCTTATGTCAAGGCTGCAGCTCGTGATATGAAGGCCTACCGCAACAGCAAGAACTACCGCAACATTCCCGTTGGTTACTCTGCTGCAGATATCTCGTCGCTTCGTCCCAACCTTCAGAACTACCTTGCTTGTGGCACCAACTCTTCCGATGCTCTGGACTTCTTTTCCTTGAACGCTTACGAATGGTAACCAAATCTTTCCCTTTTCTTAATCTGCAACAATCTGACTCTTCTTCTAGGTNGTGGCGAGAGCTCTTACCAAACCTCTGGCTACGAGCAGTTGACCCAGAACATTACCGAGTACAACATCCCCATCTTCTTCTCCGAGGTCGGTTGCAACACTCCCAAACCCAGAACCTTTGACGACCAGGCCGCCATCTTTGGCCCTGAGATGTCGCAATACTGGAGCGGTGTTATGATCTACGAGTGGATCCAGGAGACCAACGATTATGGCCTCATCTCTTACGGTCCTCAGGTTGCCGCAACTGCAACTGGAGCTAATATTGTCGATGGATTCACCCGTACTGGAACCCCTACCCCAATCTCGCCCGACTTTGCCAACTTGAGCAACCACTGGAAAACGCTCACTCCCTCTGGTGTTTCCGAAGCTGCCTACTCTCCCAGCAACTCGGCCCCTGAGTGCCCTGCCTACACTTCTGGTGCCTGGGAGGTCAGCGGTAATGTCGCTCTTCCCACCATCGGCCAGGTCTACAATGCTCAGGTCAGCAGCTCTGCCACCCCTACTTCGGGCGCAAGCGGTACTCAAACTGCCAGTGCCAGCCGTAGCACCGGCAAAGCCACTGGTAGCAGCACTGGATCGGCCTCGGCTGCTACAACCAGCCAGACCGGCATGGCTAGCCCCAGCAGAAAGATTGCTGGTATGAGCGTTGGTCTGGTCACCGTCATGCTCGGATTCATCTGGTGGTTGTAAATCAAGTTCGATTCGATTTGACACTGGAGTTTGGATGCATCTGTGTTCATGGCGTCACGTTCATGTCCCTTTCACAAGAAAATATCATAATTTGTATTATACCTCCTCAAAGGGTTGAGCTCTGTAAACTCTTCATCGCCAACCCTTTCTCTGTGGTGCCTGACTGTCTTGTGTAATCGAATGAAGATATGTCACAACATGAAGAAAAGTATGCTTCTAGATCAGGGTCATCCTGATACCGTCTTGTACATAGACACCAAGCGATGTATTTGTGTAGAATGTGTGATCATGAGGAGACTGGCGTTGCCACCAAGTAGTGCCAAATGATAGGACGCCATTCTGGGCTGAAAATGGCCCTTGGTCGGTAGAGACCAACCTCCAACTCTGCAAATTTCGAACATCATGCCGCAATTTGGTAGGGGCATACCCTCATTCAATCTAGTCTCTGTGACACGACGAAAGGCTTCTTGTATTACATTAGTATACAAGGCGGCGGTTCCGACTTTCCACCTTGGTTAGTAGTCGTGGCTACAGCCGTCCGGACAACATCCTCCCAAACCTCAGCGCACAGTTCGCCCGTCACAGCGCTACACTCGCAATACCGATCACACCTCATCTCGGCCGCAACCCTCAGCGCTTCTTGTGGAAACACCATACCCTCTACATCCTCTCTGCGCAAGTCTCTCTGCAATCCAAGCACTATAACAGGAATACTTTCATCATAGTTAAAGTGCGTTTCTACAATGTTCTTCCATTGGCCCTTGAGAGACATCAGAGAGTCTCGTGATGGGATGGAGAAGCAGAGTAATATCAGATTCGGCCGGAGCAGGGTGTAAGAAGTGGGAGACGAGGTGTCGTAAAACTCTAGCGTGTAGGGTCGCGTGCGGCCACGCAGCTCAAAGGTAAATGGTTGATCGAGGTCTCGTAAGACTGGTAGAGCAGAGGAAGTGTTGGTTGGCCCCAGAGCTAGGCGGCTTGGAAATTCTGTCAGGTCATGGTATGGATGCCGTGTTTGGCCGGCGCCGGAAGGAGTGGGAAGCAGAGAAAACTTGAATTGGCGAGGAATGTGCTACGTCGGAGTGTGATCCGTATGGCTATCGAGTTGACTGGAAAAGGCACGTTGTACATACGAGAGAAAGGTGGTCTTGCCCACGTCGGCATCACCCAGTAAAAGGATGCTTACGTCTTGAGGGTCCATGTTGCTGCGTGCGTAGCTTGTGTGTCACTCGAGGCTTAGGTCAGAAGCTCAGCTGCAACAAGGCGGACGACAGGTCTCCAGACGAGGCAGATGGCCGATGACAGACGAAACGCAGCACGGGCAGCATGAGACGGACAGCTGGGATGTCGAAGCGGTGGCCTGCCTCGGGGAACGGCATGCGTGAGCGCCAAAGCTTGAGGGACAAAAGGCCTTTGACCCCAAGTTTGCGCGAACTCTATCCCGACATCCCACCATGACGGAGTCAGACTTTTTCCCTCTTCACTCATCCCTTGACGGCGCCCTCGACCGCTCATAGACGCCCTCGACACCCTTCTTCACCTTCACGACGGCGCAATCGATTCGCGAGCGCGCAGCTTCCCCACAGGAAAGTGAAAAAAAGCCGGACAGGAAAAAATCAAAGTGACAGGAGCTTGGAACTTCGTCAATAAGGCCGGCCGGAAGTCGTACTCTCCAATAAAGAAGACCAGACCTACATCGTTTCGCTCGACACACCATTCGTTACCATGGTCCGTAACCTGGTCGTTCTGGGCGGCAGCTCGCATCCTGAGCTGACCGAGACTATCTGCAACCACCTTGGTGTTCCTCCGGCAAACATCCTGCTCAGCAAGTTCGCTGTCGGAGAGACGCGTGTCGAGATCATGGACTCGGTCAGAGGAAAAGACGTCTTCATCATCCAGTCCGGCGGCGGCAAGGTCAACGATCACTTAATGGAGCTGCTGATCACCGTCTCTGCCTGCAAAACCGCCTCGGCCAAGCGCGTCACCGCCGTTCTCCCCCTGTTTCCCTACTCGAGGCAGAGCGACATTCCTTACAACAAGACCGGCGCTCCTCTCGCCAAGGCTCCTACCCAATTGAACCGCAATGGCAACTACACCTTCGACAGCAGACCCACAACGCCTATGCCTGGTCAGGCAGAGAGTGCTGGAATGAAGGGTGGTCCGGACAACTTGCACAAGAAGCTGATGGACATGCAATTGCGTGACAACGGTGACGGCCATCGCAGTCGCAGTCCCGTCAAGATGCCTCGCCGCTCCACCATGGAGTCTGTTACCTCTGAGAAGTCCGACTACTTTGACGACAACTCGCTCACACCTACCGTGACAAATGGAAGCTCCAATGGTGACAAGCCTGTGGCTAGATTCCACAAGGCTCCTCCTCACTTCGAGCCCCAAAGAGGCTACAAGCAATGGGTTGCACAAGCTGGTACTCTTGTCGCTGACCTTCTTACCTGCGCTGGCGCCGACCACATCATCACAATGGACCTTCACGACCCTCAATATCAAGGCTTCTTCGACATCCCCGTCGACAACTTGTACGGCAAGCACCTCTTGCGCAAGTACATTCAGTTCCACATTCCTCAGTACCAGAACGCCGTCATCGTCAGTCCGGATGCTGGCGGTGCCAAACGTGCAACTGCCATTGCCGATGCTCTCGGTATGCCCTTTGCGCTCATTCACAAGGTAAGGAGACGTGGTCGTAGAGAAGCCCAGGATGGGAGTTTGACCGTATCGCAGGAGCGTCGTCCGACTCAGATTACCGACCGCCAGAATGCGACCATGATGCTGGTAGGTGATGTCGCGGACCGTGTGGCTATCCTTGTCGACGATCTTGCCGACACGTCCAACACCATCACTCGCGCTGCCAAGCTCTTGAAGAAGGAAGGTGCCAACAAGGTCATCGCTCTCGTCACCCACGGTGTGCTCAGTGGAGACGCCATCGACCGCATCAATGCTAGTGCCATTGACAAGGTCGTCGTCACCAACAGCGTCGACCAAGAGGAGAACAAGAAGCGTTGCCAGAAGCTGGAGGTTCTCGAAGTAGGAAACGTCTTCGCCGAGGTAAGTTGGGTTGCGCCTTCTCGAGGAGTGGTCATTCGTGACGTTGCGCGTCGGGGACAGTCCATTGACAAGCATTTTAGGCCATCAGAAGAGTCCACCACGGCGAGAGTATCAGCGTTCTGTTCCACGACTAGGTGGCTGCTGCGAATATTGAATGATCTTGCTGGCGTTCGGGGCATGCCTGGGTGGCACAACTGCATAGAAGGGGTATNNTCCGCGAGGACATTGCTGCGATATACGAACAGAGAGCAATTGCAAACTGGCTTCTAGTGCCGCTCCGCCTTGGGCTTCGATCTCTCCGACGCCAACCAGCCATATCAGGATACTGATGGTTGCCCCTTTTTCGTCAAAAGCAAAAGGCAGGTCCTTGTTTTCTTGAATCAAAAGCTAAGTACATTGTCGTATGCTGCGGCATCATTGCATCAAGTGCGACAGTGTTATAGTGTGCTGTTGCTCTCGAATGCGTGCCTGGACCCCTTTCTTCTGCTATTGCATGCCGACTACATCATTCTATTGTTATCATCTTGGAACATGCAATTGCACTGCGCCTTCGCGGCATGGATGTTCCCCTATCTCTGTCTATCCTGTTCTGTTTGCAATCACTGCTACTCTCCCCTGCCTCGCGTCGATGACGGCAATTGGTATACACGCCATGGACTCTGGGTTAGCGAGGAGTTTGGACCATACAATGTTCTGATCTTGCCTAGCTGGAAGCTGTGATTCTCTGAAGAGCCTGTTTTCGAGCAAAAGCTCTGTTGCTATGGTGTCCAAGCTGAGGGCGTGATTCTCTGGCGGTGATATGGTTGTTGTGTCCGGGTGATTCTGGTTGTTGCCGTCCAAGCTCCGCAGAGAGTATTTCAGCGCGTCCGAACCCTTCACCCTCTCTCCTTTCTTCCCAATCGTAACTTCAGTTTTCAGCAAGCATACCAGTACTTTGCGTACTTTTGACAATACTCTTATAAGTCCATATCAGACCGCATCGAATACCAGCAGCCTCAATTACCAAGTTTCCATAACCAAGATCTCGAATCATCACAACAAACAACGCGACGCGTCTGTTTCCATTGAACAACACTCTACCGTATCACAGATACATATCAGGTATGTCGATTTTCTACCTTCTCTCTCCTTTCACACGCTGCCGCGGCCGTCATGGTCGTCGGCATCGACTCTCTGCACGTTGCATTTATCTTCTCGATGGTCGGCGTGCAGCCAATCAGCGCGTCGTGTGGCGTTTTGACAAAGCGTGCATGAGTCGGTCTCGGCGTCGTGTCGAACAAATATTCTCCAATCCCTTGCATTGAGCTGTCGCTGACCTGTCCGTCTATCGATAGCCAACACAACCACAAGATGCCTCGCGTCACAAAGACAAAGGCACCTGTTGTCGCAACACCCAGACGCGCTACACGCTCGACCGTTCGCGCTGGCAGTGCCAGTCTCGAGGAGCCCATCGAGGACCCAGCTCCCAGACGCCGCGGCTCGCGTTCCAAGACGCCAGAGTCCAAGAACTCGTCCTTCGAGAAGTCGCAGCCCGAGCACCACCTTCCCGCTCTGACCGAGGTCGAAGAGTCACCTCGCATCGTCCTTCCACAGCCCATCGAGGTCGCTCCCATCGTCGACGCATCTCCATACGTCACGCCTCAGCACTACCACATCGCCGCTGCCACCACACGCAACCCGCTTTACGCTCCACCTGCCGTCACGCAGCTCCTCGACGACGCGCCTGCCGTCAGACACAGTCCTCTTCAGTCGCCTGCTTCTAGCCGCAAGGTTCACAAGTCACCTGCTGTCAGCCAGAGCAACCAGACCTCGCCTACCGTCAGCCAGCTCGTCCACCAGTCGCCCACCGTCAACAAGAGCCTCCACAGCTCGCCTACTCTCCACCGCAGTGTCCAGCAGTCGCCCACTGTCAGCCAGACTGTTCAGCAGTCCGTCGAGATCTACATCGACGAGGACGAGGACGAGGACCAGGTTCAGGACGACGCAGAGATTCACTACTCCGACACCGAAGTCGCCCAAGTCGACCAAGAAGAAGAAGAAGCTGTCCAGGAAGCTGTTGAATCCCAGCTTGCCAACGAGACAGCCGAGGCTGGTTTGTCACATTCTCATCCTACTTTCCCTGTTTTGTTGAAGACTCCCACCACTCCTGCAAGCCTTGCCGGTCACTCTACCTCCAAGAGAAGACGTTCCGCTAGAAGCGGCGGCTTCCTTCGCACTCCCCACCTTCGACNNAACAGTCCATTGTACCACAGCCCGCTGGCTGAAATCTCTGGAAACTCTGTTGCTTGGAAAGAATTCTTCCCTTCTTCCATGTTCGAATCCTCTTCACCTGCTTCTCTTGATTTACCTGCCCTACCTGCTGTTCCTCTCATGGATCGCGCACTCCAGAGCGAAGACATCATTCCCGAGCTGACCGATCGTCAATCCACAGCGCTCCTTTTGGACATGCGCAGAGAGATCTTGCGTCTGCGCAAAGTCGAGNAGCAGTTCCTCGCTGCCTCCAAGCAGCAAGCCACCAACTCGCCTGCTCAGCCAGTCGCCAAATCACCTGCTTCACCTGCTCAGCCACCTGCAACCCAGGAAGCATCACCAGAGATTCCTCGCACCATGCACCGCCTCAAGGATCTTCGTTACCAGAGAACCATTGCTGGACCTGCCAGACAGAGACTCCTGGCACAGCGCGAGGCTGACGCAGCAGCCGCTGCCGCCGCTGCTGCAGAAGCCGCCGAGAGAGCTGGGAGGGCTGAGTTGTCCACCATCCAAGAAGAGTCGATCGACGAGACTCCTTCACGCTCTCTTCCATCATCATCCTCGCGTTCAAGCCTGTCATCCGCCAACAGCAAGCGCAAGAGTGCTCAGGCCTCTCAGAACAACACTTTCGAAGCCCAATCTCCTCAGATCTCATCGCAAAATTCAGTATCAGCTGAGACACCCGCCGCCGCCTCTCCAGCATGGGGTCTCACTTCTCTCTTTGGCTCGGTCAAGAATATCTTCACTCACCGTCCCAGCTTCTCGCCCATCAAGCCAATCGAGTTCACGCAGCCTCAGGAGCCTATTCAGGAGCAGCAAGTTGAACCTCAACAAGCGACTCAGCAGCAGCAGGCCACACCTTCACCTGTCAAGAGGCAGAGACGCCACCTCTCTTCTTCTCAACAGAGCCCTACTCCAAAGCCTAGAGAGCCTGCACCACCTGCAACACCAGCACAAGCTCCTCAGGAGCCTGAAGACGATGGTCTCTACGGCCAAACCCCAAGAACCACTCGTCGTCGTGGCGTTCTGCCCGGTTCCATGCCTCGCAGAAAACGCGACACCCCTGCCAAGCCAAAGGAGCCCAATGCAGATCTCAGAGCATCTCAACTCGAAGTGGCAGCTCAGAGAACTGTTGAGCGCGAGAAGGCCCAAGAAAAGGCTGACAGACTCGAGCGTGAGCGTCAAGCCATCGTCGCAGAACTGAAGCTGCGTGACTCCACTTACAGCGTTGGCGATAAACGCAAAATTTCTGTCAACGTCGACGAACTCGCAGTCATCCCCAGAAAGGCATCAGGCGCAAGCTCTGGAACATACGGTCTCATGGACGACTTCTTCAACTACGACGATGATAGCGACATTGTCGAGATGGACGAAGACGATGTCCAGCTGCTCCCAGTTGCTGAGCACCCGACCAAGAGAGTCAGACTCGACGAGAATGTCTTCCAGCCAAAGACGCCTGCACCTGCACCAGCAGCTCAACCCAACACTGTCAGCCCTGTCAAGCAGGCAGCAGCAGCACCACAGCGACTTACCGCTCCAGCAACACCTGCTCCTAACTACTCGCAGCTCACTCAACAAGCCATTGAGAAGCAGCGTCTGCAGATGTCTGTGCATCAGCCCAAGCAGCCATCACGTCTGCGTCACGTTGAGCGTCTTTCAAACGGCAGCGCTCTTGGTGCCTCTTCGCCACAGCAGCCTATCGCTGCGCCACTTCAAGACACCCAGGAAGTTGTGGCTCCTGTCCAAGAGACTCAGGAAGTCGCTGCTCTGCCTCAAGAAACCCAGGAGGTCGACACTGTCTCTGAGCTTCCCAAGGCACCTGCTCCGAGAGTCTTCAACTGGCCAGAACTCGGTCCCTCAATGGAGTCACCCGAGACCTGGGCCAAGATTGACAAGATCTACACACCCGAACTCAGAGCCGCCGATCACGAATTTTTCATGAGAGGATTCGCAAACGCCATGGCCAACGCCCAAAAGTAACCTCTTCACACCGTTTGAGCAGCGTGAGGCGAGACGAACAAATTTACAATCCCAGTCGACAGAAGAAACGTCAAGCAGTCATTGGTTTGCAGCTGGTCCATCAAAGACTAGCTCGCCATTGTTTTCATGGTTTGCAGCTGGCTTTACCGCAAGCTCGCCATCATCCGGTTTGCAGCTGGTCTGTTTAGACTTAGCTCGCCATCATCGCTGCCGAAACTCGACGAGGCTTGTTTGTTCATTCATCTTACTCGATGCCTGTCTTTCATGAAGAGAAATTGTTCATCACATCGAAACCAGTGTTATTATGCATAGCGAAAGGAGCGCATTGAAAGGAAAAGGATATTGAAGACATGGGAGTTTTTTACTTGCATCTGCGGAATTTCGGTCGTTTTGTTTCGAGTAAGGAAAGACGAGAAGGACAGTTGGATTTTTGGATTTTGTTTTTACTGCGAGCCTTTGTTGTTGTTGTTGTTGTTGTTTTTACTGCACATGTTGTTGATACCCAGAGAGGAGAAAGGGACAAGGAGTTTATACACTCGAAACGAGCTCAGAGCCGTTCAAAAAAGAGAAAATGTTTATACAAAACTACTTTGGCCTTTGCATTCATGTGACAGTAGCAGTGTGAGGCGAGATTTCAACAAGGGGTCTAAAAGGCGTGAAGAAGTCTTGATCATCTTGACAACATTCAGCTCTGTGATATGTGACAACAGTGAAATGATGGCCATGCTTAAAGAGTCTTTATTATCCGCATCTAGTAATCTATCGAATGGCAGTGCCCAAATAGCCACCTCCTTCTCTACTCTGCATCTCAAAGCCTTGACCCACCATCTCCTCTTCATCCCTGATCCTCTCAAACACCGCTTGCTCACCTGTCTCCCCAAAAGCATCATGCGGCTCATCACACCCTCTATCCCCCAAAGCCGGAAACCATCTCCTCCAAACCCCATACCCAATCCCCAAACCCAGAAAACTTCCCACCACAACATCAAAAACATCATGTCTGTAATCCTCCAATCTGGAGATGGCAATCAACGCAGCACCCAAGAACGGCGAGAAAGCAACCAAAGTGCGATAGAGTCCTGCTCGTGGGTGCAAGATGCGGAATTGGGAGAGTAGGAAAAAGGAAAGGTAGCCCAGGCCAGAGAAGGCAAAGGAACTGTGGCCAGAAGGGAAACTGCGCCAGCCGTCGTGCAATACGTGGTGGTTTGGGTTTGTGCAGGAGAGATAGGTGATCAATTCGTGTTCTGGGGTTCCAGGTTTGGGTTGGCAGCGGGCGAGGAGGTCGGGGCGTGGTCTGCCTACTGCGTTTTTGATGACNCTGTGGGAGGTTTAGTGAAGGGAACGCAGAGGTGATGAAGAAGGTATGCTTACATCTGTTACGAATAGTGTTACTAAGAGACTGGTTCCGAAGCCCAGTAAGGTGACATGTGTCTTGTGAGGTTTGAAGAAGGCGAAACTCCACACCAGGAGGATTGCAAAGGGGAAAAGGCCAGCATATATCAAGAGCCAGGTTACAGGCACATGCTCAATGTCGGCATGAGGGTATTGGATTCTTCGATCATCCAGAGCGAACATGCGATGAAATGGCTCGGTGAAAATGAAGAGTTGTAGACATATCCAGATTGGAAGTATTATGGCCAGACCAATGTAATCAGCAGCATATGGTTGNCTAGAGTATGTTAGCCAGATACAGTGTAGGTGAGCATGGGTTGTAGTCACGCATTTCTCCCGCCATATAAGGAGTATAGTTTCGGTAAGAGAACCTGAGGAAGGCCTTCTTCTTGTGTCCGTATGAGACTCGGATCCAGGCATATTTGACTTTCGGGAGTGAAGTGATGGAAAGAAAGTGAGTTGTTCTATCAGGGGGCGTCAGGGAGTGTGAGTCGAACATGTGGCTGGTGCTGTGGCTGCCTCCCCCAGATTTGGACTCTTTCCAGTTCCACCTTCTTCATCGCCTTGCGAACAGTAGCAGCAACAGCATGGCAGACCAGGCACAGGCGCGCATGCTGTCGGCAGCCTTTCCGACACCCCCGCCGTACTACAAGCACTTTACCAAGCAGAATGTCACAAAAGTCCGCCAAATCCGCAAAGAGGCAGCCACAAACACCAACCAAGTCGACGTGGAATCATTACCCGTCGAGCTACGATACCTGATCCCGCCCGGAACGCCGGCAGATGGCCGTTACAAGAGCTTTGGAGCGCAGCATGATGTGCGTGTATATGAAGAAGATAGAAAGGGCAAGAGACTGATAGACGAGAACAGTNTGGCGCAACCGGCACAATCACTGGCTCAGGCAGGAATCCAAGAGCTGTATCCTGCAGACGTCGCCCACCTCGATCCGACTCCCCATCTACAGACCCTGACGCGCGCCGTACTCCTCAACTTCCTCGAACTGGTCGGCACGCTGTCCGTCAACCCTACACAAGGTCCGGAGAAGGTCGAACACCTGCAAACCCTTTTCTACAATCTTCACGACCTGATCAACCGCTACCGCCCTCACCAAGCACGCGAGAGTCTGATCATGACTATGGAGGACCAACTGGACAAGATCAAAGCTCAGATCAAGGGCGTCAACTCCGCAAAGGATCGCATGCAACAAGTCCTGGGCGACATCCGCAGTCAGGCCACGTCTGAGACCATCAATACACCCACAAAGCAAGATCAGCCATCGGCACAACCAGAGGCACCACAACCCACCGACAGCATACACAAAGCCATGTACGAATCTCTGGAACAAGATCTCGATGATTGATGCCATTACCACAATTAGTCTACCTCGACTCGCAGCTTCCCATTGCCCGTCGTTGATTCATGGTCCTCATTACATTTACTTCTCGCCAGCCAGGATGCGCTCCCGCATCTCTCTTCCATGCGCCTCGGCATCGGCAGCTCCGGCAGCACTTCCATTGCCCATGGCTACCCCCTTGATGGCTGAGTTGTCTTGTCTGTGTTCGACTTCGCTGCCATCGGCTTGCTTCTCCTTCTTGGACTTGCCCGAAAAGGCTCCTGAGAGTGCGCCAAAGAGGTTCAGGTTGAGCTGTGAGATAGATCAGCTCCACTGACCGCTACGTCCGGCTTGGAGGAACAACATACACCGGCACTTGCACTCGCGCTCGCACTTTGCTCCTTTTCTNTCACGAGCATATTGAGGTTGGTTGGCAGCAACTTGCTGTCCCTTTGTTGGCTTCTGGGCGACTTCTGAGGATGTCATGATTCCGAGGGACTGAATTTTTGGTTCAAAAGATTGGTGTTCTGATGGAGGGAGAAGACAAGCCACATATGAATGATTCACCTTCAGCCACAAGCAGGAAGAGGCTGGGTTGATATGAACACCCCAGTCGCACAAACAGGATTCATGGTTGCGAGCAGAGCCGCTTGCGTCATTAAATTCGGCAGTGTCACACCAAACCACATTCTTTGGTGATGCGGAGGAGTGGTAGCGAGGAGTATGAGGGAACGCATGATAATATGGTTCTTTCCGAGCTTCAAGACGCAAAGATCACGATAGGCATATCCACAAGCTCAATAGAGTGTCTCCCATACCATGATCTTCTGAAGCCAAGAGCTGCGTGGTCGCGAGGACAATCTCTTGTCAGTGTTTCATGTTCAGCAGCCCAAGCAAGCCATCTGGAGCAGACAACGTAGAAGACGACTAAATGATCTGTGTGTTCGATGTTCCTAGCAGGAGAATCGAGCAGTTCTTGTCAATTCATGTTCAAAATCGATCAAACAACAAAAAGTCGTTGACGAACAACACCCACCCCGCCATCGCAGCTCAGCCCCACCTGCTCCCTTGTCGGAGCTTCAGAATTCAATTCGTTAGCGCTGATGGCGTGTCCAAAGATTATCAGAGCACTACGTCGACGTCCAATTCTTTTTGTTTCGCTCTTCATCCTGGCATTCTCACTACTCACACCCTTTCTCCCTCGACTCCGCCTCCTAGCCCGACACATCAATCCCCCACGAACTCACACCACCACCACCACCGCCGCCATGTCGACCGATTACTCAAAAGAGCTCAACGTTGCCCTCCTCGCCGTCCAGCGCGCCGCCATCCTGACCAAGCAGGTCTTCCACAGCCACGCCAAGGGCACTCTCAACAAGTCAGATGCCTCGCCCGTCACCATTGGCGACTTTGGTGCCCAGGCCCTGATCATCGCTGCCATCAAGGCCAACTTCCCTGATGATGAGGTTGTTGGCGAAGAGGAGGCCAAGGACTTGCGCGAGAACGCCGACCTCAAGAAGACCGTCTGGGACTTGGTCAAGGAGGCCAAGCTCGACGATGATGCTGCCGAGAAGACCCTTGGAGGTCCCATCGAGAGCGACGACCGCATGCTCGATGTTCTCGACATGGGTGCTAGCCAGGGCGGTAACAAGGGCCGTATCTGGGCTCTTGACCCCATTGACGGTACCAAGGGTTTCCTCCGTGGTGGCCAGTACGCAGTCTGCCTCGCCCTCATGGTCGACGGCGATGTCAAGGTCGGTGTCCTCGGATGCCCCAACCTACCCATTGACGACAGCGCTCCTCTGACTGAGGATCTTGGTGCCAATGCCACCGACTCTGAGGGCAAGGGTGTCCTCATGTCTGCCATCCTCGGCAAGGGCGCCGACAGCCGTCCTCTGACCCGCGGCGCCCTCAAGGATGCCACCACCATCTCCATGAAGACCGTCAACGACATCAGCAGCGCCACCTTCTGCGAGTCCGTCGAGGCCGCCCACAGCGCTCACGGCGACCAAGCCCAAATCGCCTCCAAGCTCGGCATCACCAAGCCCTCCGTCCGCATGGACTCGCAAGCAAAGTACGCCAGCATCGCCCGCGGTGCCGGTGACATTTATCTCCGTCTGCCCGTCAAGAAGGACTATCAAGAGAAGATCTGGGATCACGCTGCTGGCGACTTGATTGTGCGTGAGGCAGGTGGTGAGGTTACCGATTCCCAGGGCAAGCGTCTTGACTTTTCGGTTGGCAGAACGCTCAAGAACAACAAGGGTGTCGTTGCTGCACCAAAGGCTGTTCACGGCAAGGTCCTCGAGGCTGTTACCAGTGTGCTTTCGGCCAAGCAGTAGATGATTGATACGAGGTTATGATCATGGAAAAGTAGAATTGTGTATATATGTTATGCTACGTCCGATTGAATATTCAGAAGACTTGCTTCAACATCTACAGCCAGAATCAGCAAAATGAAAGATGTTCCTTTGGAAGAACATTCCCAGATGGTTGGAGAACGAGCAAAAATGGAGTAGCTGGGAATCGAACCCAGAACCTTCTCCACTCAGTAATGCTCGGAAGAGCAATGCTAAGAAGATGTCATACCACTAGACCACAACCCCATTGCATGAAGCTGAAGACGCTGGATAATTATATAATGATTGATTTACTGGCACAGTATGCGACATCTGCCTTGCAGCTCATCTGGAACGTCTAATCATCTAATTCACCAAGATTCCAAACATATTCTGTTCGTTTTTACCGCTTGGAAAGCCAGATCGCTCGAAACCTGTACAATTAATTCTTGCGGTCGCGTGGTGTCTAATTTTAGCACGGTGCAGATCAATCCTGGAGTACACAACGTCTCAGGAGTCAGGCACTCTTGACCTTCCTATCTCATGCAGCCACAAAACGCCTCCTCGGACTGGCGGCCAGACGCGTTTAGGCTGCTTAGCTGCGTCGTAAGTAACTGATAGGATATATCAGCTCTGCTCCATCGTCACTCGGATATATAATCCTCTCAGCAGCCTGCTTTTCTGCTCCACACTACACCTACAAAGAATGAGTTCTGCAGTCTGTTCGCCAGCCGCAGACAGTGCCTTTGGGCCTGCGGTCGAGGGTTGTCGACAAAACTTCGACTTTACCCTGGCATTCGAGTCCTACTTCTTCTCAATTGTACCTTCCGTGTTGTTGCTCTGTTTTGCTCCATTAAGATTCAAGACGCTCAGTCGTGTGCGACCTAAGATCAAAGGCACTGCCTTCAAATATGTCAAGCTGGTAAGTCAATGAGGGGTGCTGCCGATGGGATGTCGCAGCTCACAGAGGCAATTGCCTAGTNCGGTCATTGCCTTGCTTGCTGTTTTCCAGTTGGCATTGATCGGTCTCTTCGCCAACAACACTCAACTGCAAGCATGGAAGCCATCAATGGCAGCTTCTGTGCTATCCTTTGGTTCGAGTATAGCTCTTCTCGCCCTGTCGTACATGGAGCACTCAAGATCTCTTCGGCCATCCATGCTGCTCAATGCCTATCTCTTCGCTACCGTTATACTCGACGCTGCGACTCTTCGGACACTTTGGTTGATGCCACACTTTTCTATTCGCATCCGCAGCATCTTCACGGTGGCTTTCACCGCAAAAGCTGTGGTTCTATTGCTTGAGGCTAGAGGTAAAAGAGCTTACTATAACACAGAGAGAGACATAAGCCCGGAAGACTTTAGTGGTATCTATGGTCAAGCACTCTTATCTTGGCTGAACAGCTTGGTCTGGAAAGGTGCTCGCCACTTGTTGAAGCCTGAGGATCTGTATGCTATCAGTGATGATGTCGCATCAGAAACGCTCAGCACTCGATTTGCTCAAGAATGGGACAAACGTGAGTACCTCATTGTTCAGCGTTGGTCAGGATAATCACACTTTCTCCAGNAGTCGAGGAGCGGACCAGCGGATTTGAAGAAAGTCCTCTTTGTGTTGTTGAAGTGGCCGATCTTGGTCTCCATCATCCCCCGGCTGGCTCTCCTAGCTCTTACTTTCTGTCAGCCTCTGCTGTTGAGAAGACTGCTTGACTATCTGAACAACTCGAACGTAGAAGACAAGAACATTGGCTATGGATTGATCGGTGCTTATTTTGTTGTATACGTTGGTCTTGCTGTGAGTTAGACTCTCCATATCATAACACATTCTGCCTACTGACACTCAATATAGACCACATCGGCTATCTACTGGCACAGGCATTACAGGTTCTTGAGTATGCTCCGCGGCACACTGATAACAGCAATTTACAGCAAAGCTACTAACATCGTCGCCGTGGCTAAAGATAACAAAGCTTCCATCACACTGATGAGCACAGATGTCGAACGCACTATTCGTGGTCTGATTGACTTGCACGAAATGTGGGCGAACATCGTCCAAGTCGCCATTGCCACATGGCTGCTCGAGGTAGAGCTCGGTGCTGCTTGCGTAGGCCCTGTCGTCATTGCGTTGGGTAAGTCTTCACTTTTCCGGTTCTCGTACCTCCGTCTGATTGTTGTCCAGCTGNCTACGGGGACCACCATCTGGTTTTCTGGATTCACAGCCTCGTTCCAGCTTCTTTGGATTCATAAAGTCCAAGCGAGGATTGGTAAGTGTCTCATGAGATTGTGCCTAGAGAGCCCGCGGACGATATGTACTGACTGTTGCTAGNGCATAACCACATCCATACTCGGCTCTATGAAGGCTATCAAGCTCTCTGGCCTGAACTCCAGGGTGGCGCGTTTCCTACGTCAGTCTCGCGTTGATGAGCTCGACGCTGCAACACGCTTTCGTACTCTTTCCTCAATTTCAGTCGCGATAGGTACGTGAGATTTTGCATGCCAATACTTGAATCTCACTATCAAGCGTATCTAACAAAATGGGGTTGAAGGGAACGTGCCTCAGCTTATAGCACCTGTCCTGACGTTTGCGATCTACATTGGTGTCTCCTCGAAGCAGCACACTGCACTTGACACAACCAAGTTGTTCACATCGCTCGCCCTTATCCTTCTTGCTTCAGAGCCTCTGTTCATGCTAATCAGTGGCCTTATCGAGCTACGCTCGGCGATCGGCTGCTTCGCACGCCTAGAGACCTTCTTGCAGACTCCACCACGATGCGATACTCGAACCATTGTGCTTCCTCAACCGAGCCATGTTCGCTCTCTTACTGGACCCAAGCCCGCCAGTACCAGTGCTGTTGTAATGCGCAATGCCTCGTTTGGCTGGAAAAATGGCGATCAATTGACCCTCAAGAACGTCAGTCTTCGTGTACCTGTCTCAAGCCTGGTCATGATTACAGGCCCCGTCGCTTGTGGTAAGAGCACTTTGTTGAAAGGCATACTTGGCGAAACACCCCTGTCACAAGGAAATGTTGAATTCTCGAGCTCTGATATCGCATGGTGCGAACAATCTCCTTGGCTGATGGTAAGTCTCTGCTTCTGGTCACACTCCTTGTCCCACTTGCTTACTTTCTTGCAGAATGCATCGATCCAACGAAACATCATCAACTTTTCTCAGTTTGATCCAGAACTCTACTCATCAGTGATCCACGCTTGTGATCTTGATAGCGACTTGGAAGTGTTACCAAAGGGTGATGCAACGATGATCGGAAGCAAAGGCTTCGCTCTGAGTGGCGGACAGAAACAACGCATCGTATGTCCGACCTGTAACCATACTGACCGGTGTTCTCTAACCAATTGATTTAGGNCTCTGGCTCGCGCTGTTTACTCAAGATGTCCTATCGTTGTTCTTGATGATGTCCTCAGCCAATTGGATCTAAGTACACAGACTATCGTCTTCGAACGTCTCTTTGGACAGCGCGGTCTGCTGCGTAGATGGAAGACGACGGTCATCATGACTACTGGTGCAGCCAAGTTCTTCTCTCGAGCCGATCTCGTCGTTGTTCTCTCTTCAACTGGCACAGTCGTTGGACAGGGCACCTTCCAGGAGCTGTGTGCTGCGGGTAGCAACGCGACCAGATACATAATCTCGATTGGAGCTAGCTTGGAAGATCAAGCAGCACTGCGCTCTGCGACTGACAAAATGTCTATCGGTGTAGGAAAGACACACTTCGTCGAGAGTAATAACAAGGTTGACGACAAGACTTTGGAAGCAGCACGCCAGAAAGGTGATTTTGGCATCTACAAGTACTACTTTGCATGCATCAGTCGGAATGTCGCAGCCATCTTCATTCTGTTACAGCTCGCTTATGCGGTCCTCTGTACTTTCCCCAGTGAGTCTTTGGATACAATTTCAACCGTCATGCGCTAGCTAACGAGAGAAGCTGTCTGGCTCAAGTGGTGGGCGGATGCGAACATGCAACAATCTCACTCAAGATACGGCTACTACATTGGTATTTACACAGCGCTACAGATCGGCGCTCTAGTGCTCTCTGCTGCAGTCACTTGGTAAGGATACAATCTTGAGTGACCGTGGATCGAGAATTAACTGACACATGCTCAGGNNTGGTCATTCAATGTAATGGCTGTCAAGACAGGCATCCAGCTACACAACACTCTTGCGAAGACTGTCATGTCGTGAGTTTGGCTCAAATTTCCATAATGCTTGCGATTCTGACGATGTTTAGGGNCACCGCTCTCGTTTCTCAGCAAAGTCGACAGTGGAAGTATATTGACGAGGTGTGTGCTGATCAGGTACCTGTCCTAGATTTGATGTTTCTAACAGTGANACAGATTCAGCCAAGACATACAGTTGCTCGATATATCCTTACCACTTGCTCTCATGGTGGTCGCCACCAGTAAGTGACCCAATAGCTGATGCGAAACCGATAGCTAAACTGTTGCAGATACACTGATCTGCCTCGCTCAAGTAGGGCTAATCGCTTCAGCTTCTGCCTGGATCGCATTGAGCTTCCCGGCATTGTTTTTTGTCTTCTACTTCGTCCAAGGATTCTACCTGAGGACATCAAGACAAATGAGACACCTCGATCTCGAAGAAAAGGCACCAGTGTAGTATGTGAATTACGAGTAGCGAACTGTAAGAGGTCTGGCGCTAACTCTACAACAGCNNACGCAGTTTATGGAGACTCTCGATGGGTTGGTGACAATCCGTGCGTTCAACTGGAGTCAGCCATCTATCAAACACAATTTCGAAATCGTGGACCGCTCTCAGAAGCCCAATTACCTGATGTGGGCACTGAAGAGATGGCTAGCATTAGTGCTCGATCTAGTAATCACCGGCATTGCAGTTTTGACAGTAGGCATTGTTGTTGGTCTGCGAGATAGCTCTTCGCCAGGGTTTACTGGTGTTTCGCTGACACAGATCATCTCGTTCACCGCCAACATCAAGCTCTTGATCATGTTCTGGACACAACTCGAGAGTTCTCTAGGGGCAGTGGCTAGAATCAGGCAGTTCGAGAAGGAAACTGTTGCTGAAGATCTAGAAAGCGAGACCCATGATCCTCCGTTCGATTGGCCTAGTCAAGGCTCAATCGAGATCAACAAGCTGTCGGCGAAGTATAAGTCAGTATTGTGCCATCTTTGTTGATTCTAACTATACTGACGCGTGAAAGACCCGNACAGCGAGCGATTGACACTTGATGACATCTCTATCTCCGTTCCAGCAGGCTCAAAAGTCGGCTTGTGTGGTCGAACAGGAAGCGGCAAAAGCTCTCTTCTTCTAATCCTCTTCAGTCTTCTGACCCCAGAATCAGGTAACGTCGTCATAGATGGCCTCGATCTTTCAACCCTTCGTCGTGAAACACTGCGCTCTCGCCTGATCTGTATCGCAGAGGAGCCCTTCCTTTTCCCAACCAGCGTTCGAGACAACCTTGCTCTCGACTCTACTACTCTCGCCGATGAACATATGGTTACGGTGTTGCAGCAAGTAGGGCTCTGGGAAGCTATTAATGCAAAAGGAGGATTGGATGCGAAGATGGAGGACGTACACCTAAGTCAAGGATCGAAGCAACTTTTCAACATCTCCAGGGCTTTGCTGAGGAAAGATGAAGGCAAAGTTTTGATCATGGATGAAGCTACCAGCAGGTCAGTAAACGTTACCCCCGTTTCTATCCTCGACATTTTCAATTTCTTGTAGGTCTTGCTTACTAACAAGCTTGNNAGCAGTATTGACACTGAGACGGACGTCAAGATTCAGTCGCTCATTATGACAGAGTTCTCTGAACACACTATCATCTCGGTGGCTCACAAGTTGGAAACCATTGCTAGGTTCGACTTTGTGGGTGTCATGGATCAAGGCAAGTTGGTCGAGTACGACGACCCGAAGATCTTGTTGAAACAAGAAGGGTCCAGGTTCAAAGAGTTATGGGATGAGCGGTAGTCAATCTGGCGAAGAGGAACCGAATGTGTTGATTCGAGACTTTGGATCACAGGAGTGATTCGATCTGAGAAATAATTTCTTTTAAGAAGATACAGTCGTCTAATGCTTGTCCACACTGTGACTCTCCACACAGCACAGTTCTAACAAAGGATCTTGTCCGCCACGCAGTGGAGCCGACATTCCTGAGGCAGAATCTGTGCCTGGTACTCTGAGTGGCGTCTTTACGTTGGACCTTTGACTTTATCTCGCTTAGCGGAGCATGTGCCGTATGGCGTGCAGGAACGGTGCACAGTTCATCGTCGAGGCTCTCCTTTACTGCTTATATACAGTGGATGAGCATGACTCGAGTGCCAAGAGCTGTCTTGGGAAGGGGACATGCTTCATGGTTAACAACGCTCCACTAACCATTTCAATTCTCAGATAACCGCTCTAATTCTTAACATGTTCCTTCAACTTTTACCTGAGATGAATGTCGCGTTACTCTCGCAGCATGAGCTCCAAACGCGCCCTTCCATACTATCTATTACCTAGGCGAGGCAGTCTTAGACGGTCGTTGTCAAGCCGCTACCTACCGTTGCGGATCCTCCAAAGGAGATAAACCGTTCTCGCAGTGGCTGGCTGAGGTCGTTGTTTCCAAGACATATAGAGTGATTTTGGGATCTCAATCAATCGAATCTATGGTCGACCTCAGACTCTGCACCATAAAGCTGAATCTCCACAAGAAACGAACATCCAGGCGCTATAGGCTTGACTCGGTCTTCGCCGACAGTTTATCGACCGTTGTCTCCTACATCCATTTGAGCATTTCACCTTTTTCTCAAAGCACTTCGTCGAGAAATTTGGTCGCCTATGTCAACATGGCTCGAGGCATTATAGAAGCAGGAGAGATGTGCATCCGAAACTCTTCTCATCACGCGATTCCTCCTTAGCAAGATGTTCAGTCAAAGGCTTCTGTTCCTCGTTACGTTCTTTACCCTCGCCCTAGGCGTTTTCTCTTCTCCTTTGCAGGAAAGAGCAACCTCAAAATGTACTGCAAGAGACATCGCCATTGTCCGTCGCACTGTCAGTGATGAGGTCTACTTCTGCAAGTGGTGGCTCTCCGAGTATGTCTTACCAGTGCTGTTATAACTTCTGTTCCTAACATGGAATATAGCATTCGTACAAGGTCGCCTTTCCTCGAGTTCACCCAGGCTCAAGTCACGGATCTCTGTAAATGCCTCACATCGTCCAGCACTGTTTCTAAGCCAAAACGCGAAGAAGGCTCGATTGAGAATGTCCTTGAGAAGAGGCAATCGCAAGCTTCTTGCCAAGCCGAGATGAGCAAGCAGTTCACCCAACCCTACAACTTCTGCACTTTCTACAATGCATAGTACGTCTAACGATGCTGACAATGATGTTCAGAGTGCTGACATGACAAAAGCCCCAGGACCACCTCTCCCTTCGCCCTTTACTCTGCTAAGCAATTGCTCACTCTCTGCAAATGCGTAATCACAAAGCAGCCTACTTCAGTCCCCTTCTGCTCTTCTCAGTCCACACTTCTTGCAAGTAAGCCTACGCTGCTGTCGCAGGCTTCGCAGTACTGTTCGTCGCTCTTGAGACCCACCGTTTCAGCTGTGAAGACGACTACCAAGGCTACCACTATCGCACAGACCAAGACACAAGGAACCTCGATTGTCAACAGCGCCTCGACAATCCAGCGCACAACCATCGTCAACAAGGCTACCACTGAGCAAGTCATTCAGTCTGTCACAGCGAAATCGATCGCTACTAAGAACAGCGTCGTGGTCGACTATGTTGACACCACAAACATTGGCTCCGTTTCCCTGGCTATTGATACCGAGACAAGCGTGCAGACCGTGAAGGTAGCTCTCTCTACCGAGGAAGGCCCTCACTTCACATTCATCGTTCGTAGAGATGCCTCGCCCTCGCTCGCAGTTCCGACTGTCTGGAAATCCCTCGCTCCTGCTCAGGTCACTCAGGCATGCAACTGCTTGGGTGTCAAGTCTACGTCTTTGAAGCCAACCACGGTGTACACTTCAACCAAGACGATACTGAGCACCGCAACGAGCTTTGCCACTAAGCAAGCACAGAGCACTCGTATCATTTCAGTCACTCGCATCTCGACCGTGAACAAGCTCTCTACTCTCCGCTCGACACTTACCTCGGTCGTGTCGACTGCCGTGCAAACTCTGACTCTCGCGAGCACCTCGAAAGCTACTTTGACGACTTCTGTGGACTCTGTATCGACAAGCATCAGCCAGGTCTTTTCCATCGCTACATACACTTGCCCCAGTGTTGCTTCTGTGATTCCTACCTCTACCTTGTGGACTACCTCGTTCTCTACGGTGACGGCAACAATAACCACAACTATGCCAACGTTTGTTCGGACAACGGCAACCCATTATTTCAGCACGACAACGGAAACCAGGTAAGCATTCCCTTGTATGAATACTACCTTTGACCATGTAACCTAACCGTTCATAGCTATATCACTGCAATGACCTGCACCAATCCCGATCCATCAACTTTCACGCTTCGCAAGAGAACATTCACCATCGCGCCTGTCATCTACAGCACAGTTTCCGAGTGCCCTCCCACATCGACTCTTACCTCTACCATCACATGCACAACATCGGGTGTGACGACTTGGACATCGATTACGACGGCATATGGAACTCAAACAAATCTCTTGAACGATTTTCCTACCGGGGCGACTACGGAAACCGTCACGGCCACAACCACGCCTACTTGCACTACGTCGACGATCAATGTGCAGACATCAACCGTTACTTCGGACCCAGCCACGTCGACTCCTTCAAGCTCGGCCGTGGCGAAAACCTGCCCTGAACAGTACTCCGGATACGACTATGACTACGAAGGCGTGGTCTACAGCGTACAGTGTGGAATCAGTCCCGATGGCGGTTACAATTTTGCTGCAACAGGCTTCACAGCTATAAGTCAATGCTATGAGTGGTGCCAAAGCTCCAGCAGGTGCACTGCCTTTGAGTGGCACGAAACATTGAGCAATACGAACTGTATACTGTACAGCAGTGTCACGTCTGTTGGCACTGACAGTGATGGTGTGCTAGCTATCAAGAGGAGTTGAAGATACTTCGAGAAAAACTTGATAAGAACAGTAGCTATAGCCAAAGGCTAGCCTTTGTAGAGGACGCTTAAGATTTGATATCCAAATCCTTCCCAAAACCTTACAGTCAGTTTACAATGTTCTTGTCTACATACAGAAGGTCTTGGAATCAAGTACACGGTCCGTCGAGAGAACACGATGCCTTGACGACGAAGCGAGCCTTGGTCTATTAATTGTCACTGTCAATCGAGTGCGGCATCCCATATGTTACCATGATAAACATGTCAGCGTAGTGTGTAAGAAAGGTGTATTCATCACTGCTTATCCTAGAGCAGGTTTTGTTGGCGGTCGTCTAGACATATCGAGGTTCCAGCCTCAATACATCGAAGACGACAAGTTCGTAATATGCGTTATGTTTCCCCATCTTATGTCCTCCGTTTTGCCCAAGGCAACAGTCTCTACTCTTTTCTTCTCTACTTTGCGCCAAAGACTCTTTCGGCGTGAGCTCCATGGTATCCTGTCTCATAATCGAATTGCGATTCCGGAATCGTGTACCCGGCTCTAGTCTTTTGTGACCCAGTGATAGGCATCTCGAAGGCATCTCCAGTCGCGATGTGTGGTAGGCTCTCGTGAGAATTGTTCGTGAGGCGTTCTTGCGAATTTGATCGGGAATGGACGTCGGTATAGGGGCCGTTGGTCATGGGGATGTCGCTGGCCTTTCTGTCGCCACGAAGGTTCAGGCGGAAGTGCTGGCCGCGAAGACCATTCATACGGCTAATGTGGATATCCAAAGCCACTGACATGAGTGTTGAGATCCTATCGCTGGTCAGATGGTTTTACTTGGATCTTGCGCAAGTCGTTACTTACAATCCGAGCAGGGCAAAGGTGAACAAAGCCTTGTAGATCTTGCACACCATGATGCCAGTGCCATCGTTCCAGTGACTGACGTCGCAATAATGTGTCAAGGTTCCCCACATCCACCAGGACAGCATGCCGAAACCGATGGTCCAGATGACGAAGATTGTGGAGTTGAGGATGAGGTTGAGACGAGGATTGAGACCGGACTGCAAATGGAGGGCGATGGTGGCAGCCAGGATAGCTATGGTTATCCATGAAACGCTCATGAGCNNTAATGCTATAAGTCAGTCTCGGTGATCAACTAGGGACTTGGATGCTGAGCATACCACTTTGAATGTCCATGGTGTTGGCCAGTGGTCGTGTGATAGGTGGTAGATGAAGAACGACATTATACTGCCAACGATAATGCTAGATACTAGCTGTGCAGCACGAATCGCGTGAAATGGCACGCGAACTTTGTCGTAGCCATACAATTGAGTTCGCGACCGACTCAGCAAAAGATCGGAGAACATTATGAAGTGACGGGGCCTCGTTATTAGGTATGAAGGTGAAATGAGGACTCCGGCCGGTATGCGACAGGAAGCAGAATGATATGGATCAAAAGGAATGTGGCTCGTCAAGAGCAGGAAAGAAGATCTCGTCACCGTCAATCGCTTCAGCTGGTCGACTAATAACCTACCGGCTGTGAAGGAGGGGACGGAATGCCTATGTAGGCGCGCCTATTGGGACTGGTCTGCAAGGTACGAGGTTGGCGTCTGGGGATCCTTCCTGAGTGCTGCTTTTTTAACCATGGTGGCTTGCGTCGCAAGTGTTCATTGGTGCACTGGTGAAACAGTTGAAGCCAAAATTGCGATACGAGACCGAAGGATAAAACTCTTTAGACGACCCTCCACCATAGATATGATGCAAGAGGGTCTATCGAGCTCTCAGCTGAATGCTGAATATTGAATAAAACGTTCGGATGCGTTGGCGATTCATAGACATTTGTTTGTAGGAGAGATCAAAAGAACAAAATGGTAGGATCGAAATTCCACCGCCATCTGTCTTGGCACTATTTATCAAGAAGGAAGTCGCGTTTCGGGCACTTCCCCTGCAGCTTATTCTCCGATATAGATGACCGCGAAACGAATGAAAGCTCTCCGACACTCGTGCATCGGTTACTGTCACGGTTTCGCGTAGCCACTCCGTCCGCCTCCATCTTTACTGCTTCACGCTACGGAGTAGTGAACGTGCCTCCCAAACAGAAGTAGGTATCGCGACAACAATAAGGGCTTTCGTACATGAGATCCAGCTCTCGGAATAGATATTGTACAGTAAATACAGAGCAAAAGAGACGTATCGTCTATTTGATCTTCTTGGCCTTCAACTTGATGGTTTCGTCGTTGACGAAGATACCCTTGCCCTTGTAGGGCTCAGGCACTCTCCATGCACGGATCTCGGCAGCGAATTGCTTCACGACCTCCTTCTCAACACCTTCCAGTAAGATGCGTGTAGGCTGGGGCGTGCTCGCCTTGACACCCTTAGGAACGCCAAGTTCGATGGGATGTGAATAGCCGACTTTGAGAGACACGAACTCCTGGCCAGGGTATTCGGGCTGTTTTGTGACGGCCGACTTCTCGACGGTCGCACGGTAGCCGACACCGACAAGACGGAGGATGGCAGAGTGGCCTTCACTGACTCCGAGGATGTGGTTTTGCAGATATGCGCGGCAGGTTCCTTTTTGTTTGTTAGACTTGTGATCTCAGCTCTTTAAATGCAACTTTCACTCACCCCACATCTCCCTTTGCTTTCTCTCTTCCTGATCCAGAATGCTCAGACTGTATGTGCGCTTCGCTTCGTCCGAGACAATGTTCATGTAGGCGGGAATGGGCATGGAGAGCTTTCCAAGAGGGCCCTCGATGTGAATTGTGGCGCCTTCTTGCGTACGGCTGACTCTTGCACCCTTCTTCTGGACCGGGGCTTCGACGATGTTGAAGTTGACATCCGGAGGCAATGACAGCGGTGCGCTACCGATTTTTGACTGGCATGGCGACGAGGTGGAAAAGGACGACGATTGCTGCTGGAAAGCTGGGAGGAGGAATGCCGGGATCGAGGTTTCTGCGGATCGAGAGTTCTTTATTGCGCTGACACAGCGCCGTCTTGCTGGAGTGAACATGGTGTGTGATGTGAACGGTGTGTGTATCGCGACAACCACAAGTATTCGCTAGAGAAACAATTGAACGGCGATTCGACTTTCCCAGCTCCGCCCTCGAGTGAAGCTTGGCGACGACTTTCTCCGCCCTCGGCGCCGGCTCCGCTCATTCAGCGCCTTCTACCATTTTGCATTGTCGACATCACAATTGCAAGTCGGACCTTGATCAGATCATCCATTCACCCATTGTCCATTGTGGCAAGTAAACATCCGGAACGATCTCTCGTCGTCAAGTCCCTTCTCTTCTGCTCCCTCCTCTTCCAACCCCAACACCTCTCATGCCACTCAGGTCCCACGATCTGAAGCCAACAACTTTCCTTCTCCGATCTTGACCATGAACGCAACCATGCTGGCCATGCTGCTGTTCTCTTTCTTCTTGTTCCTCCCTTGCATGGGCTTCCAACCAGCCCTCAAGGTCCACGATCTTGACTCCACCCTCTCTGACCTGACAGGTATCGAACTCTCTTCCAACAAGGTTCGCATCACCGAAGGCATGCACACCATCATTGACACCATGCACAAAGTCGAGAAGCTCCCTTCATGTCAGAAGCTGGCTTCGAAAGCTCTCCTTAACACTTGCTCTGAAATTGATCATGCTACTAGTCTCGCTACTGACAAAGGTGTCGATGTCATGCTCGAACGCTCCAAGTCCATCTATGCTACGCGTCTGGCTATCTGCGAACTCATGGATGCCAACGCCAACATTCCCTCATCTTGCTCACCCTTCAGGCCTGTCGAGCATGCTTCGAAGTTCAATGGTTTCCGAGGTTTCATTGTCAACGGTCGCTTCACCAGACCCACAGCTCCTCGCGATTTTGATGACAGTCGAGATCTTGATGATTGCTCCGCTTCTCTTTCCTCGCAACCTGTGTGGTGGACTAGCTACTCAAACGCTCGCCAAAACGCGGTCCTGCTCTGCCATTCTATGAGGGCGGAACTGGACAAGGGTGGGTCTAGAGATCCACGATCTCTGAGGCACTTTCGCTGACGTGCGTGATCAGATGACATGATCGAGAAAATGAAGCTCATGTTCGAGGCAGTCTTGGAAGCATCCAGTGTCATGGCAGACACGACTGATGAGCACCGCGCTTTCGAGAAGCAATGGACTGAAATGGGCAAGAACATGCAGGCCTTTCATCTTGCGCTAAATACAGATCTTGACATGCAGAGTCGCATTGTTCAACAGTGGGCAAGTTTCCAAGCCAATGTTCAGGACCTCGACGACAATATCCAAAACCTTGGCAGGGATGTCGAAAGAGTCCGCNGAAGTAGGTTGAGTATCTCTATCACCATTCGACTTGACGCTGACGGAAAGCAGACATCTTCTCATATCACTTCGGACCTTGAAAGCCATCGTCTCCGGGCTCAGGAAGCACAAGCAGACGTGACCCAGCACCTCGGTCAGGTTCTTGACATTGCCGTACAGATTGATCGGTCTCATGGTAATTCACTGGCGGCCTCGATGGCTCTAGATCAACAGAACCAAGTAAATCTTGATTATTTTCACACGCTCCTTTCTTTCCACTAACAACATCAAGNNGAACTTGCATATACGCTGGCTCGTAACGCCGACACTGCGAGGGCACTTCACCGCCAGACCGAGATTCTGCTAGACGCCATATTCACTGTGACGGAAAACGTGACAGACGCCGCAAGAACCGTTTCTGAATTCCACAACGATATCCACAACCTACCTACCAAAGTCATCCAACAAGTCTTCGAAGCTTCGCTCGGTGGCTTCCCTTCCGGCTGCGTATCGGTTGTGCTACTGTCTATCTTATGGTGTCTCGCATTTGCTGCTCTCGACACTTGGGGCCTGTTACGCGCAAGAAGCTCGGTCGTTGCATCGCTCGGCATGGCAATCGGTAAGTGTTTCTGACATAATATTGTGACGATTTACTGACATCTCAAAGCCTTCACTTATCTTGTGCTCGCAATCCCTCAGATCGCCGAAGCTCCCGCAATCAGTGTCCTAGGCATTGTCGCAGTCACGTCCACTGCAGCCTTTGTTTGCAAGCTTTGGTACAAACAACAGAAGATCTCGAATTCGTCAACTCTTTTGAACAGCGTCAACGAGGACTTGAAGCAATCAGTCCCACTGTCGCAGCCACTTTCCAACACTGGTCCACTCCTTCCTTGAGCTTCTACTCAACAGCTTGCACCTCTCCAGTTTTGCCCTACGGCATCTTTACGACTCTTCCATATTGCTTTGCACTGGCATGGTTCCAGCAACGACCCCATGATGCGATCATGAGCTTATGACCTTACGAGCTAACATCTGGCACACTTATCTTGCTTTTTCTTTCCTTTTCGTTCAGTTTTACACATATCTTTTTTTGCAGCTGGCATCCTTTCAATTGATGCCGCTCCTCTACTATCAGCATCTTGATCCGAGGGGTATCTATCATGCATTTGCTAGAGCTCTTCCTGCTTCTTTGTTACGTTCAATCTTGCTTATAGAGACACATTAGCTCGTTCTCTCTTATATCTACATTATGCTCTCCATGATCTATCATCCTTGCAACGGGCACTTGTGTTCCTAGCGGATCCAGACATAACGAGACATATATTTCAATGCATCGTAAACCTGATAGTCGACAGTTTCCATGTCAGGATCGGATACTAATAGCGTTTTCCATACAACGTACAAAAACCCGCAGGTACGTTGCACATCAACAACCACGATGCAGCAAAGTAGAAGCCCTCGCTAGGATTGCCCTCAAGCAGGCATGCAGCGGTAGTGATGTACATTTGAACTCGTCAGCCCATGAAGGAAAGAGTGGGGAGATGTATATTTTGATCGTCCCGTCGACGCTCAACACCACTCGACAGGGTTTACAAGGATTTCGACTCAGCGCAAATTGCGGGCCTGATTGGAGGGTTTCAGGCTTCCTACACCTGCTGCACTGCCTGGTCGGTCATGATCTGCTGTGTTGTGATACATAAGAGTTGTAGATGCCCACAGTTTGCACCACTACCAGATAATCTATCACCTTCCATCCCGACTGCTTGACAAACTCACCCCTTTCAGAAACAAGGTATTGTTTGAAGCTTACTCATCATTCAAACCGATCTCTGACTTGCTCTAGACGACTACACCACCTTTTATGTACTATATCGACGAGTTCGAGAATCTAAATCAAATCGGTCAAAATCCACCAAAAGTCATATTCACAGTCGAAGCTTTCAACTGCGCCATGGCATACGAAAACGCGGTCCCTGTGGGCGTCATCATCGGATTTGTTTCTTCCATCATCATTCTGGTGCTCATATTGCGCTGGCTCAAGCACAAGAACAACCAGAAGGAAGCACGTGAGAAGGATATCGAGGCAGCCAAGGTCGAGGCTTCTGCATTCGACGATGGAGCGTCAGACATCTTGACACCAGTGGCATCGCCTAGAGACGCTTTGTTCCATCCAGATCAGCGTGAGCATGGTGCTGTTACCAACGTGCATGGTGTCTCGCACAAAACGGAGAAGGAGTGGAGGGCTGCTAGACGAGCTCAAGGACATGCGTGAGCGGTATATTAGGTAGCCTGCAGGCAGAGCTAGATAACGAATTCACGACAACAACGCCCTAGGTATTCGAGGTGCTTTTCATAGTCTATGCGGAAGTGTGACGATGTTTGCGAGCGTGTTTAAGCAGTAGAAAGAAGAGGTCGGGGCTTCCCAAAGAGTCGAGAGATGCGACTTCCCTCGGTGGAGAAACTTCGGGCAAGGCCTTTGGGCCATGATTCGGCCAAGCTCTTTGTCGACTTTGAAACCTTCAAGGTGTTTCGCAATTCGGTCGCCAACTCATTTGGATATCGCAGTGTATTACTAGGATACTGGAACAGACTTACGACAATATCGCTATCTGCCTGGTGGGGTTGCACGACGATAAGATGACGTCCTACGAGGATAGTGTGACGGGCCATGCCTACAGCACACTGTTGCGCCTGGGATTGCCGGCATACACGATGCACTTCAAGAGCCCGACGTATATGCGGGAATCCATGTTGGAAAGACTGGATAGGACAGTGTGCAAAGATATACTCAAGGCCTCGGCGCAACAACCCGAAGTCAGGTTAGTCATGTGCACGCCTTCACTCGCACTCGCCATCGGCTAATGCGCCTGTCAATGTGCANGACAAGGTCTAGGTACCGACGATAATATCTGGAAAGACATGGTCACCTTGTTCCGCGCCGCCATTCCCTCGCTCGAACGCCGCTCTTTTGCCGTCTGGGATCCTTCCGCCGTCGACTACGAATCAACCTCGGGTGCTCTCATTGCTCAGAATTATCCTGGATTGTGGAAAGATTTGGAAAGACTCAACGACCTAGTGTCAATACTGCGCAACACTTTGACGATTGGAGAGAAGGCTCAGGATCTGGCTGCCGAGTGCACCTTCGACCAAGAAATATTCAGACTGATCAACTGTTGCGTGCGAGTCACGGCTAGAGGCTTTGATGGCGATGCCGGTACTGGCGACGAGGAAAAGTGGCAGTGGATCGTCAACGCTTACAAGAAGCTTCTCATAACCTCTCTGCAATTCCTGAATAACTTGGTCGCTCGCAACGAACGAAGGAAGCTGATGCTGTGGGTCGCCCTGTTCGACAACTCGACCGAGGGCATACTGGCTGAGGATACCGATGATGCTACTGGAGGCCAACCTGCTCTTGGCGAGATGCCCAAACCGCCTGTCTCTACCGGTGACATTCTGGTTGCGCTAGGCGAGACAAGCAAGGCGACTTATGACGCTGCACAAGACGCCCTGAACGCGAAACGACTACTTGCGAACAAGGATCAGATGAAACCACCATCCAGGCCCGTATCTGGCTATGTTCTGTTCGTCAGGCAACATCAAGCAGAGACCAGAGAAGCTCTTGGCCCAACCGCCACTCCGGACAGCGTCGCANAAGCTCTGGCTGCCAGATGGAGCATCTTGTCAGATAAAGAAAAGACAACATATAATAAGCAGTACGACGCACTTGCGCAACAGTACGAGAAGGAATTGGCCGCTTATCAGGACGCCCGTCGTCTCGCACAAGCCGAAAAGGACAAGTCTGATAGAGCGCACGCAAATCAGGTTGCTGCGCGTATTGCGCATATTGAGGAGCAGCTTGGTGATCGCATGAAGCCCGAAGGTACAAAGGTCGCCCCGATGGAACCCCCGGTTTATAACGCAGATGGAGCCATCGCTTTCCCGGACGAGAAAACTTCTACAGGACCTAGACCGGTGGCAGAGGACGACTATAAGATGATGTTCACAGCCTCGGCGGGAGCGAAGATCCTCGAGAGCGGCAAATCAGAACTCATGAAACGACTCGAAAGCTATCCTGTTCCACCGCCGCAACAGGCTCAAATCGCAAGTCCGGCATCACCCATCGCTTCTCCAGCTTCACCGGTATACGAGAATCGGACGGACGAGAATGACGTAGGCTTGGACGAAGAAAGCGAGGAGGAAGAGAGCGAAGACGAGGACGAGTATCCTGGATCTAGCGAGGATGGACGTGGCCTTTTGACCGATGTCCCGCTAATTTTGGGTCCGTCGGAAATCGAAGTGTTGCCCATGATCGTCATGTCTGGAATCGTCCCGCCTGCAAAATCCACACAAGCTGGTACATCGACCGAAGAGACTAATGCCATTGTCAATATGCATACCGTCAGATGTCATTTACTACTGGCTCAAGACAATGGGAAGAACTTGTTGAGAGAGCTCTTGATATTCGTTGCTGCCTGGGACCTGCGAGAGGAAGAGCTCTACTTCAAATTCATGGTTAAGATCATGGAGGCGATCTTGGTTAATGGCTTGATGCCTTATGCATACCACGCCTTCCGAGACAAGTCCAGGTCCAAGGATATCATCTCACCAGCCCAGGCAGTGATCATGAAGCTGCTTACAAACATCTTCAGATCGAGAGCTGAGGCGTCCAAGACAAACCCCCAACCCAGCGAGTCGTATCCTCTCAGAGTCGACGTTCACATCGTCAACTTTATCTTTACCGAGTTCCGCCAGCATATCATTCCGCAAACATGTGCACTCATCTTCTTGCAAGGCAAGATTCATCAAAACTTGGCCTCACCCGAAGACTTCCCGCTCAATCTGTGGGACATGGAGCGTATGTACGAAGGCGTGTACCAGTACCTTGAATTCTTCGCCGTGCTCACTGAAGAGAGCATCTGGAAGGATGTGATGGCACAGTGGGAAGTTGCGAGCGAGCTTGTGACGTTACTTAAGGAGTTGGAAGCTGCGATCCCCAAACTTGGACCTGGAGGCAGCTCACATGGACCCATCCCAAGACGCCCAGCTCCTCATCAACAGAACCACAACTATCAACCGCCAGCACACAACTACCCACCCCCGCCAGCACCGCCCCAGAACCTCAAGCCCCTGCCTATAAGTGTGGAACGACCATTCGATCTCTCTCCGGACTTGGCCAATACTCTTCCACCACTTCCCATCCCACCAACGGATGCAAACACTCAGCCTCCGAACAACACAATTTTTGAAGCTGAGACGCCCTTGGCTTACCCCGAGGATCCGCAAGATGAGCCTTCGGACTTTGAGTGGCGCAATCTTAAGAAGTTGACGGTACTCGTACTTTCCTCACTGATCTGGAAGAACCGCAAAGTGCAAGACCAGGTACGCGAATATGCAGGTCTGGAAGCGCTGGTCGGTTGCTGCCGCCACGATGAACATAACCCATACATCCGCGAACATGCAATCATGTGCCTTCGCTTTGCAGTCGAGAATAACGAGGACAACCAGGCCGTGATCAAAGACATGGCTGGCATGGCAGCAGCAGGCGAAACTCGCATGCCCACCTACGCCGAGATCCCACACGGCAAGCTCACCCACCCCGACCAATTGATCCCCTTCCAAGTCCCACCTGTGCCTCAAGAGGTGCTCGACACTAATGGCTACGAAACATTTATGGATGGAAAAGGCCAAGTCGGACTTAGAAGGAAAGACGTCGGCCAATTATCCTCGGGACCTCAGAAGCCCAGACCTCACCCCAAGATGACGGCAGAGAAGGCAGCAGAGCTCATGCAGACCGCCTTACGCGACCTTCCTCTCGGCGACAAGATCTTGCTCGATAAAGAGAAGAAGGAAGCACTTGCCAAGTTGGACAGAGCGTTCTCTTAGTACTTTGACGTTGCCGTCCTGCTTCGCAAGACCAGGGCCCAGTCGCGCGCAAAGCGCAATTTCCAAAGGTTGTTTGGCTATCGGAAAGATCATCCCCGAAATGACCTGTTGGACCCTTTAAATGGCAGATGCGCTTTTTGCCTGGACATCTTACGATGGTGTCGCTGCCCCAAATGTGGCATCTATTTGCGTGTTGTAGACGACTGCACATGTGCAGAGAAGAGTCGTCTCCGTCCTCTCCGTCCTCTTGGTCCTCTCCATCCTCTTGGTCCTCTCCGTCCTCTGAGTCCTCTTGGTCCTGCCCGGCGCAATCTCCAGAGCTCTTTGATCATCACTGTCTTGGACAACAAAACCAGGCGATGTGGAGGCTGCATGGAACCCTGGACCCGGTGTGTCTGTCTCCGCTGTGCAAGATGTTGGCGTGCGATAGGGAAATGCAGGTGTCGTGATCCTCCACCCAGACCGCCCCAGAATTCCTCTACAATGAACAAAGATTTGGAAAAGATTGGGTGGGGAAGCATCGTTTTTGAACATTTGCGTTCATTGTTGATAGCAAAGGAAGGAAGTAAGATAGTAACGTTCTTTAGACACTGTCTTATTCACAGAAATACCTTTTCTATCCTTCAAACCAAGGTGTTATACATGGTGAATCCAAGCAACCAGACTACTTTTACCCAAAGGATGAAGGACACTCTATCGTTCAACACAACCACCTTTATGATCTCGCACGGTCCTCCCCAAAAGGTTACAGTGCCTTCAAAAAAAAAAGAGACTTCACAATCAATCGAGTGACAAAAGAAAGCAACATTTGGGGAAAAAGCAACCCAATATACACTTGAAACATGTTTTTTTTTCCGCTTTTGGCTTTTTTTCTTTCCCTCAGTCGTCATTTGTTGCCTTCTTGCGCAAAAGGGGAACAAGGAACCATCTTGAAAGGGGGGGGGGGGGGGGGGGGGGGGGGGGGGGGGGGGGGGGGGGGGGGGGGGTTTTTTGTTCCGAGAGCCAAAAGGGGCTTGCTTCCTTTTGCATATGATGAGGTTCATCGGGCCCCATATGCAATCACAGTTCCAAGACTACCCTGGCTTATTCGATTCTCGAGATCTGGTCTTGACGTTTCAATAACGACGAAAAAGTACAGACGCGAATGGGGGAACGGGGTTGTATAAAACAAAGCCTTTTGTAGATTTGGGAAGGAGCAAAAGCTATCATGTGACTAAAAGGAAGGGAAGGAGCGATACACGGGGAAGGAGCATTTCGTAGGGAAGGAGCAATACAACAGGAAGGAGCGATACACATGAAGGAAGATTACTCCAACTTTGAATAATGCAAAGTAGAGAAGAATATTGAGGAGTTTTGCCTTCCCTTTTTGGCTGTGTTGCCATCTATTACTCTATTCCTCTCTAACTCATCCAGAAACAAGACACGGTCCAAGGAAGAGGAACGCTCTGGTGTGTGCACATCTCTCACGTACACCCTCTACTTTCCCTTTCGGCCCTCTTACTTTCTACTCAACTTGTTATGCAAAGTATGCTCCTTCATAAACAAACTGACCACTCCGGCCAAAGCAGCCAAAATGACAACAACAAGCCAAACAGCCCTCAAGCTATCGATATAAGTGTCTTTGACGCCCTTTTCCCATCCAGGAGGCAANAAGGAAATATCGCCCACATCGTCTCGGATACGGCTGATGATATCCGAAGCTCCGGGCAAATGTCCAAAGCGATCCTTCAGACCACTTGACAACTTGTTTTGGAAGACTGCAGAGGCGATGGTGATGCCGATGGTGGAGCCTGTAGAGCGGAATGCGTACGAGGCGGAGGTGATGACGGCTTGGTGTTCGTGGCCGACTGCTGAGAGGAGGGCGAGGAGGGTGACTGTTAGCATGGCGCCATAGGCTGTTCCAGACAAGAATAGCCAGACGAAGGGGAGTGCGCCACTGACACCTGCGTTGAAAGTTGTAGCGATGAGGACAGCGGTGATGATGTAGAGGGTCAGTGCAAAGGTGGACAGCCACCAGTAACGTCCTGTTGCACGCATGAGGACGCCGGCACCTAGCGAACCGCAGGCTGTGCCGATGGATTGAGGGACTAGTCTGGTACCAGCTGCGGTGGCGGACAAGCCTTGGACAATCTGGAAGTAGATGGGGACGTAGTAGAAGAGTGCGTAGACAGCCATGGTAAGGAACCAGTTTGTCAGACATGCCGAAGCCACGGTGCGGTGGAGGAGCAGGCGGATGGGAATAACGGGTTCTTTTGCGACTCTGTCCTCGACGTAGATGAAAGCTATCAAGGCAAGTCCGGAAAGAGGCAAGCTGACGTAGACCAGAGGGTGGTTCCAGGGTACAATGTTACCGCCACTGTTGAGACCAAGCAGCAACAAGACGAGTGCAGTGCACAGGGTGATGGCACCGAGAAAGTCGACACGCTTGATACGTTCCTTTGCATTGCCCTCCTTGACAGGGATGTCGACAAAGAACCAGCCAAGAAGACCGGCGACGATGATGAAGGGTACCTGGACGTAGAAGGCCCATCTCCAATTGAGGTGATCATTCATGAGGCCACCGAATATGCCTCCCAGACCCATACCAGTGCCATAGATGAGGTTTGCGAACCCCTGCCAGAGTCCACGCTTTCTAAGAGGTATCAAGTCACTAGCGATAAAAGTAGAAATGGTGTTTAGACAACCACCGCCAGTACCAGCAATGACACGACCCGCAATCATCATGGGAGCGTTCTGAGCCAGACCACAGATCAAAGTTCCAATAGCAAAGAAGGTGGTCGCGAATATGATGCCAGCCTTTCTTCCATAGATGTCCGACATCTTTCCCGAGAGAGGCTGGAAGGCAGCATTGGCAATGAGGTATCCGGTCGCAATCCAGGAGAGAAGAGTAGAAGAGTGAAAGTTTCGGCTGATGGGAGAAGCGAGCGTGGCCACGATGGTTGAGTCTNNACAGACGATTTATCAGGATGCTGTCGTCTCGGTGTCGTGGTCAGAAAGTCACTCACCCATGGCAGCCCAGAAAGAGCCGACCCACAGACAGATCATGATGACTATGACCTTTGCAGACGTCGGCTCGTCGATGGCGTCGGCCTCCATGTCTTCTTCTTCTTGTGCAGCAACATTTCGGTCAATGGTTCCATGATCCGGGTGTGCCTCGTCCAGCAGGGGCCGCTGTTCGTCATCGTCGAGTGGCGATGGTGGCAGCACCGTGATGCTATCCCGTTCGCTCGCCATTGTCCCCCGAGTCAGTCAAGAGAAGACGGCGAGGTGTTGCGGAAGGAAAGTTGGTTGTCGGTGACTCGAAACATGAAACCCCCACGTTTGGCCTGTGACACACGCGACAGGACCCGCCGTCACCGCTCGGCGATACCGAGCCTCTATCGCCGACTCGTCATAGTCATTCTTGAGAGTAGAAGAAAAAGATTCTTCTGTTAGCCTGCTGAGAATCTTCAACTCTTGTGTGATGAAGGGGACCGGGGCCAGGGAGCATACTAGCATCTCGATGCCATATTAATGTGACCGGGATGTGATGAGTTACATCTTACACCTGGTATGCTCACAACCACTAACCGAAACGAACACGTTTACGTTGATACTGCATCATTAGGACTTTCAGCACCAGTCTCACTGCTACAGCAGGATCACGAAGCGAGTCGATATACTGCCCATGCACGCCTGCAATACCTGGTGTCTGATATGCCTCCTCTCGGATAGGGCATATTTCAGGACAGGGTGTTACACGGGACTACGGACTTGGCCAGATAATTCTTCTCATGACGACTATGGATTCATTGTACTCGTTAATGTACGCTCCTGCCTCTCAAACAGCAGGAGGTGCCCTTTTCTTGAATCCCAAGACGGTCTTCAGACGCCTCAACTTTGATAGTCTTTCCTTGTCGTGCTTTTCTGTCTCTGCCCTGCTTAACTCCGGCATCGATGGCATAGTCTCCACAGCCAAACTCTCCCTACCATCATCTGTCGCACCCGCATCACTCTCCACCTCATCACCAGTCGCAGTAGGACCTTGGATTGTACCTCTAGATCTGCGTCTCTGCTCGTCGATATAGCGGTCCAACACATCGAGGAGAATACCATGAGCAGATTTACCAGTGTAATTTCCAGTGGCGGCTTGAGTGGCTGGGTTGCGCCATGGGCAGTGCTCGCGGTGTAGTTGGATGAGGTCAAGGTACCGATCTTCTTGTTCGTCCTCATCGTCGTCGTCGAATCGGTGGGGCTTGTAGTCAGGTTGGTACATCCAGAGACCTATTCTCTGGAAGCAAGCCTCGCAGGCTAAGAGCTGCGTGCTGGATTCTGTCGAGCCTTGCCAGCCGCAAAGGGCAATCTTCAGTGCTTTCTGCTTTGTTTCTTCTGTGGCATCCGTGTCTTCACTTGCATCGTTCTCGTCTGGTTTGTCCTCTGATTTGTCGAGTGGCGCTGTTGGGAGATTGGCCAGAATCTTGTCTGGCGATGGGTCGAGTTCGGCGGGTTGTAAAGTCAGGTTAGCGAGTGATGGCGCTATGTTTAGGAGAGATTGGTAGCGCGTGCGCAGCTCGGGTTGCCAAACAGTCGACTTGACAATCGGCAAGCGGTATATGTCGTCCTTGCAGCCTGCCTTTCTCCACAGACAGTCGTCCGAGTGTCCCTCGACAATGAGTTCCTTGTACTTGTCCACCAAGGCCCGCTCCAAATCTTCCTGGTTATCATCTTCATCTTCCTCTTCCTGCTCTTGATCCTCTTCTTCAGTCTGGACGCGATGTCTCTTGGCAATGGGCTCAACCTTGACCACGAGGCGCCGCTGACATCCTCCCTTGCAAGCGACAGTATTCGTATCGACGCACCACCATCCTCGCTTGGCCCATTCGACTTCGTTGACAGCGTCAGGCTTGGGATGCCAGCTGGTGACAGGCCCGAAACTGCGCAATCGCTTGATGAAGGCGTCGTGCGACCATGGCGCAAAGTTGGGTTCTCCTCTGATTGGGTTGATCGACGTCTTTGGCAGTGTCTTACTACGTAGACTAGCCGCTAGAGATGTGGTCGAGCCGCTTGATCGAATGCGCTTAGTCGCTGGTTCGCTGATTGTGCCTTGCGATACGGGTCTGGGAGGAGTGGCTGCCGGCGCCGAGGGAGATCCGAAGCGGCTGTCGAGCAGCTTGTGAAACTTGCGTTTCGTTGTCGCAAGTGCTTCGGGCATTGCGTGATGGTATGTTGGACGGGTTGGAAGCGTTGCGAACGCGATCGAGTCTGTTGTCTCTAGCTTGGGTCTTTGTTGACAAAAGTGCGACAATCACATGCAGCTCGGCTTCGGCTCATGCTGTCAGCAACAAGCGCCTTCACTCCTGCCACCATCCATCACAAACCACATTTTATCATTTTTGGTCGCGAATCTGGGGGCTAATTACATGGCTGGTACGGTACTGCTGACTACCTGGTCCGAAGAAGAAACACATGGTCACAGCTCCCTCTCTGCCTCCTGATTATGATACCCATCCACGCTGGTAAANAAGCCCTTCTCCCATTTTTGGTTCAGAGCCGCATTGAACATTGCTTCCCGCCGCACGTTCCTATCACTTTGAGTACTACTTGGAGTGCTGCTGTGCCCAGACCTCGATATCTTCACTCGCTTCTGTGGTGTTTCATACTTTACTGTTGATGAGCTGCGACTAATGCTGACCTTTGATGTCGTTGAATGGGAGCTCTGCTCTGTCTGAGCATACAGGAGTGCTGCTTTTGAAACCCTCGACTCTGGTGACATCGACCTGTCCCTTGCGGGTGATGGAGTACTCCTTTGAGATTCTTCATCGTTCGCCTCTGGATCCTTGATACCCAGTTGTGCATGGAGTTCTTTGTCTGCTTGGAAAATGTTGGCCGAGCAAATGTCTCCGAACAGCATTTCCATTGATACTTCGAATGTGTAGGTAGATCGATCGACAGTGCAAGGGTAAATATCTCTTGGTTTGAAAGCTTGTACAAGTTCGCGAAGCTCCAGGTAAGAAGAGTGACGAGAAAATGGAAACGTCNNTAGTCCCGTTAGCATGTGTAATATCAGATATTGTACTAAACTCACAATCTGTCGCTGCTGTTTGATACGATCTTCTTCCTCCTGTTTCGACTTGCCGGTGATCAATCTTGTGAGTGCCGGAACTAGCTTGTCAATGGGCAAGTTGTCCATGTCGAACTCGTCATCGGCTCTACCGTCTTGACTCGTGATATCGACTTCGTCACGCAGGATCTCGAGATCAAGGTCGATAGACTCNTTGCCGTTCTTCATCAAAGTCGAGAACCACTCTTTCATTGGTCCCTTGAGCTCAGGCTGAGCCTGAAGGGCTCTATTGCAGATGAGTAACAGCTGCTGAACGCTAGCCTGATCGTACAACTCAAGAGAGTGCGTCTGGTTCAGGTCACCCTGACCTCCACCGGCACCTATTTCAGCGATCTCGTAGCCTTTGTGACGAGCTATTATTGGCGTGATCCATACCACATGAGCTACATATGGTGTTAACATTGAGTGTGTCCGCTACTGTAAAGAGACTTACGANTTTTGGAATACTTCGCAACGAGTCCCTCGTTCACAGCTGTGAACTCGTGCGCCTTCCAACGAATTAGTTAGGCATCCGGGATGCTCATGATTGCCGAGTTTATAGCCCACTAAAGGTGCAGTCTGCGGTCCATAGCATGTGGGCTGATCTCTTTGCGAGGAATATAACCGCCAGCGATAATCATCGAGGTGTACTCGAGTCTTTAGAGCGGCTGAAAGTGCAACCCAGGCCTCCTCATAGCCAAAAGTCCACGTGTTAAGATAGAAGATGGTTTCTGGAGGATATTGGGAGGCTTTGTTGATTAGCTCGGTCAAACCCTCAGCCTTTGAGGGCATTTCGTATTCCAAAGCGTCGCTAGAGGTGAAAGTTGTGTCGAGGTATATGTTGTCAAGTCTCTGAGTACCTCTGGTATATGGCAAAAGAACGGGATTGCGAATGAGTGTGTTCACCCACCATTGCTCTGATCGAAGATCGCCAGTATAAAGAATGGCTTGACCATTGCCCTCTATTAGGAACATGCATGATCCCAGGCAATGGTTTGCATCAAAGAGGGTTACTCGAATGGATTGCCCAGGAGCTAATTCGATCTCAGTCGGTGTTTCGAGCGGTATTGGTTTGATGTGATTTTTGAGGCGGCGATATGTCTGCTTTCTTGACTCCAATATGCCTCTTGCAAAGTTCATGCGGTGGGGATACTTTTCTAGGCGAAGTAGTAGCTCTCGAGTCTGAGCAGTGCAATAAACGAAAGTCGACTTGAACGACTCGAGTCCTTTTAAATGATCACTGTGAACATGGCTTAGGAAGCAGGCGAGCGGAGGCGGCTCCTCGGGGTAGTTGGTGAAGTTGTCAATGCGTATGTAGGGAAACTCCCTGACGATGCCGTCGAAGGTCGACATTAAATTGTGCACTTCATCTATCTGATACTTGAATGCGGAGGATCATCGATGGTGCCAAACGAAGACTCGCGCAGGAGGAGACGCCTTGCGACGCGGCACGTGAAAGTTTTTGATGACGTTTTGGCAGATTTGACAGCGCTTCAAAGGCTCGCACGGCAGCGAAGCGCCCTTGCATGTCTCAAGGTCACAAACAGCTCATGGGTTGCCGCTGTGAGAGCCACAAGGCAGGGGAAGACAAGCTGAGTGGTTCCTCGTGGATGCAAGACGGGAACAAACAGGAAATGGCAAAGGCGGTGTATGTAGCTACCCCGCGATTGACACGTTCCTCGCGTCACCGTTCAAGCTCAGCTTGGCAGCACTTGCAGAAGCTTAGCTGGTTGTTGATTGAGCTCGTTCGGATCGAGCTCTTGCTTGTGGAGCTTCGTGGACAGCCGATCTGTGCCGCTCTCTGTTTATAACTCCGCAGATCTCCCCTGCGTCCATCCCTTCTGCTCTCCTCATCCTTCTTCCTAGACCAAGAACTCATCATACATCATGGTTCACCTCGGACAAGTCACGAACGATTCGGAGATCCAGAAGGACAACTCCCAAGGCATTGACCTGTCCAAGCTAGGTCCCGAGGGCAGCCAGCCTGACGACTTCGAGACCAGCATCTATGGCAGTCGTTTCGCAGCAGAGGATCTCCCCAGACATGAGATGCCTGAGAAGGAGATGCCCGCTGCCACTGCCTACAGAATGATCAAGGACGACCTGACCCTGGACGGCAACCCTACCCNNTTAAGTATCTCGACCACTACGCCAATGCATCCAAACACTCGCTGACCAGAACACAGCCTTGCCTCGTTTGTTACCACCTACATGGAGCCCGAAGTCGAGAAGCTCATGATGGATGCCTTTGCCAAAAACTTCATCGACTATGAGGAATACCGTAAGTCAAGTAATCAAGAGTTATTGTAATGTATTGTCTGACGATAAAACTCTANNGCCGTCACTGCAGACATCCAGAACCGCTGTGTCAACATGATCGCTCGTCTCTTCAACATCCCTACCCATGACGATGACAGCAATGCCATGGGAACGTCGACCGTCGGCTCATCCGAAGCCATTATGCTCGCTACGTTGGCCATGAAGAAATCTTGGGTCAACAAGCGCAAGGCAGAGGGCAAGGACTACTCTCGTCCCAACATCATCATGAACTCGGCCGTTCAGGTGTGCTGGGAGAAGGCTGCTCGTTACTTCGATGTCGAGGAAAAGTACGTCTACTGCACAAAGGACCGCTTTGTTATCGACCCTAAGGAGGCCGTCGACTTGATCGACGAAAACACCATTGGTATCTGCTCTATTCTCGGTACCACCTACACTGGCGAGTACGAGGACACTAAGGCCATCAACGACCTCCTGGTCGAGCGCAACATTGACATTCCCATCCACGGTAAGTTTCCCTGGCTTCCAAGCATTGATTCATGCTGATTTTTCGCAGTCGATGCTGCGTCCGGTGGTTTCGTTGCACCGTTCGTGAACCCCGACCTCGTCTGGGACTTCCGTCTCGAAAAGGTCGTCTCAATCAACGTTTCTGGCCACAAGTACGGTCTTGTCTACCCTGGTGTCGGATGGTGCATCTGGCGTGATCCCAAGTACTTGCCCACTGAGCTGATCTTCAACATCAACTACCTTGGTGCTGACCAGGCTTCCCTTACCCTCAACTTCTCTCGTGGTGCTTCCCAGGTTTTGGGCCAGTACTACCAGCTGATCCGTCTGGGCAAGCACGGCTACCGTGCCATCATGTTCAACCTGACCAGAACTGCAGACTATCTGGCTGCCTCTGTTCAGAAGATGGGCTTCCTGCTCATGTCTGAGACCCGTGGAAACGGTCTTCCTCTGGTTGCCTTCCGCCTTAACCCCGACGACGGCCACAAGTTTGACGAGTTTGCTATCGCACACCAGCTCAGACAGCGCGGATGGGTTGTCCCTGCTTACACCATGGCTCCTCACTCGGAGGGTCTGAAGATGATGCGTGTTGTTGTCCGTGAGGATTTCTCGCGCAGCAGATGTGATGCCTTGATCGCCGACATCAAGCTCGCTATGGAAACCTTGGGCAAGATGGATGAGCAAAAGATCAAGGAGCACAAGGAGCAGATCAAGCAGCACGGCACCGCCACTGGCCGTCATAAGAAGATGAACCAGCACTTCACCGACGAGAAGCACTCGCTGCAGGGCAAGACTGGCAAGACTCACGCTGTCTGCTAGAGCGTGACGAAAGAACACACTACAGCGCATATATCCTTATGAATAAATGACTTCCCTTATAATTTTCATGTGCTTATACAGTGTTTGTCGCAAAGCATAAGTTTTATGAAGGGTGATAAGCTCATCGACCGAGGCCACTGAACCGGATACCGAGTACTCTCGTTGCCGGCGGACCGTCTCGGAAGGCTTCACGGCTGCGAGCGCCACTCTCGCAACGCCTCGAGTGCCTCAGTTGCTTGTTCTTGCTTAAGAAAGCCATCTAGCTTGGCATGCTCGTACACATGTAGGTCTTCCTCGGCCACGGAGCGCGAGAAGCAGAGAAGCAGTCGACTCAACAATCTCGTGGACTTGTACCTTTTGGCAAGTCAGGGCAGTTCAACACCGACTATCGTTGGCCGGATCACCAAATCTTCTGTGTCAAGTCGTTTCGAAGGATGCAAAGCGCGCGTACCACTCCGCATATCGGCATGATCCCCAGGTGCAATGATCTCAGAGTGCCCCATGACATCAATTTTTCTTACCACACCAAAACCAATACTTCTGGGGCACGAAAGGACTATCTTTGGTCATCTTGAGGGGTAAGATAGGAAACGCTGGCCCTTAAAGGTTCTTCTGCTCCCTCTGTTCTGTGTTCTGGACGACTGTATCCTCCCACCGTACACCCTTGTCGAAACCCTCACGTCGCAAGAGAAGAAAGAGCTGGAGGAACATAGAGGATAATCAACAACACCACTCACCATGACTGGCGGCGACATCTCGGACGATGCGCTACAACTCGCGGCTCTGGGGCATACCCAGGAATTGAAACGGACCTTTTCGCCGCTGGCTATGCTCGGCTTAGCATTCGCCATTCTGAACTCATGGACCGCGCTGGCGACGTCGTTGTCGGTGGCCTTGCCTAGCGGTGGCCCTACCTCTGTCCTTTGGGGACTCATCACAGCAGGCATTTGCAATCTATGTCTTGCAGCAAGTCTAGCAGAGTTCCTCAGCGCGTATCCCTCGGCTGGCGGCCAGTACCACTGGGCTGCCATGTTGAATCCCAAGAACCGCATTATCTCGTGGATCACTGGATGGATCAATGTGAGTGATACCCCAGACAACCCACCCCACAACACACGTTGTACTGACACATAGATTCAGGTCGGCGGATGGATGGCTCTGACTGCCACCGGTGGACTGCTCGGATCGCAACTTATCCTCGGCATCATTTCGTTGATGCACCCTGTTACCTACAACCCTAAGAGCTGGCATCAGTTTTTGATCTACATCGGATACAATGTGTTTGCATTCTGCTTGAATGCTTTCGCCAACAGAATTATCCCGCATATCGACAGAGGTGCTATTATTTGGTCGATCAGTGGATTCGTCATTGTGTCCATCACAATTCTGGCATGCGCCTCTCCGGAATACAACTCCGCCGAACTTGTCTTTGGCCAGTTCATCAATGAGACTGGCTGGCCTGACGGTGTTGCGTGGTTGTTGGGCTTGCTTCAGGGAGGCTTCGGACTTACTGGCTACGACGCTGTTGCACACATGATTGAGGAGATTCCCAATCCGAGAAAGACCGGACCTTTTGTCATGATCACCTGCGTGGCCATTGGCACTTTTACCGGATTTATTTTCTTGATGTGCCTTCTTTTCGTTGCTGGCAACCTTGACGAGATTATCAAGTCGCCTGCTGGCCCTCTTCTGGCAATCTTGTACAATGCCACAAGCTCGCGTGCTGGAGCGATTTGCCTGCTCATGTTCCNNCCCCTGGTGTGCACCGTGTTTGCGACAATCGCCATCATGACCACCAGCAGTCGTATGGCTTGGGCTTTTGCCAGAGACAGAGGTCTCCCGTTCTCCAAGTTCTTCAGCAAAGTCCACCCAGGACTTGATGTGCCTGTCAATGCACTCGCTCTTACCTTGGCTCTAGTCATCATCTTCGGCTGCGTCTTCCTCGGCAGTTCCAGCGCCTTCAACGCCATTACCAGTGCTTCTGTTGTTGCCCTCGGCATCACCTACGCCATTCCCATTGCCCTTAACGTCCTCCAAGGCCGCAAAGGTCTCCCCGCTGATCGTGCCTTCATCCTACCCTCATGGTTTGCATGGTTTGCCAACTTGCTCGGTCTCGCCTACGTCGCCATTACCTCTGTGCTCTTCCTTTTCCCTCCCGAGTTGCCTGTCAACTCCAACAACATGAATTACTGTGTTGTTGCTTTTGGCATTTGGTTGTTGATTTCGCTGTTGACGTATATCTTTGATGGCAGGAAGAATTACACGGGCCCAAAGGTGGATATTGTGGATGAGCATGTGCTTACAGCTAGTCCTTCGCCTGAAATGACGAGGACGACGAATAATAATGAGGTGGATTATTCGGACAAGGGCAAGGAGGCTACTTATTAGACTGGCTTGTGATAGCAAATCTCAATGATTGTTTTATTTATGCAAGGCGGTGAAATGTGCTTGGCATAAAACAAATGTGTTTGATCTGTGCTTGTACATTGCACAAAAACAAGCTTGGTTGTCACCTTCGTGTTGACAACAAACCACGACTTTCCACATCCAACCACACTCTACCAATCATCCCACCTTCTACAATCTCACTCAACTCCTACAAACACAAAAGAAACCATGCCCCAACGCACCTACTCCAAAACCTTTACACCCCTCGAATCAAACCCAGAAATCTTCACCTCTTTGTCCCACTCCCTCGGTCTCTGCACCTCCCTCATCTTCCACGAAGTCTACTCTCTCGACGAACAATGCTTCGATGGTAGAGTATTAGCCTACACACTCGCATTTCCTACCTCAGATACCTATGATGATGAGAGAGCTGCTCAAAAACCCGGATTACGAAGAAATGTTGAAGATGGTATCAGTGAGGGACAAGTAAAGCAAGAGCAAGAAGAAGAAGAAGAAGAAGAAGAGGTACTATGGTTGCGTCAAACCATTCACAATGCATGTGGTCTCTATGCTTTACTTCACGCGACATGTAACGGAAAAGCTAGGGAATTCATCAGTTGCGTCTTCCTCCTTTCCCTCGATTTTTCTTTTTTTTTTTTCCTTTTTTTTTGTCAAATTTTGCTGACCAAAGTAGAACCCGGTTCGATACTAGATGAATTGATAAAGACGCCACAACACCAACAATCAAACTTCTTGGATGAATGTACAGAGCTAGAGATACTCTATGCAGAAGCAGCTAACCAGGGAGATACTTCACCACCGGAAGATGGTGTGGAAGTGGATTGGCATTACACTTGTTTTGCCCCTTCCGCAAATGCTCACAAACTATATGAAATGGATGGGGATAGATGGGATCCTCTCTACCATGCAGACCTACTTCCCGACTTTGCGGACTTTGACGCAAAAGCAATCGGCTTGATCAAAGAATACTTTGAACGCGAGAAGGGAAGCAAGAAAATTCAATTCAATGTTATGGTTCTAGTGGATGAGTCCTCTTCTTGAGAGTTCAGTGAGATTCAGTGGGAATCAACATAACACCACTCTCTTTAGTTCGTCACTGCACCATGCTTCCTCGCGCTCGACAAAGGTTTCTCTGTGCCAACTAAACCATTTGGTGGTTCTCTTGGCGATGCCTCTCAGCATGATGGGGTCTAAAGATGGAAGGGGAGTTAGCATGATCCTCGTATAAACCCGGGTATGCACTGTGATCCAATCCCTGATAAAGAACATTCTCAAGATTGACTTACTGATCGTAGCATCAGGATGAGGACGATGAACAACAATCGTGTTGACACCTTCACTCTTCTCGAGCTTGAGAGTGACAGCACTACCTTGGCTCTGCAGAATACTGAAGACAGCATCCGTCATGGCAGCGAGGAAATGTTGCCAGGCGAAGCTGCGGGAAGAATCCTCTCCATTCTTTGGGTACATGGCCTTGAAGATGGCAATGTTGTCGCGTTTGATAGCGATCTTGACTGGTTCCGGCTGAGGTTTGGGGGTTACCGGAGCCTCGAGGGTTGGAATAGGCGACTCGGTACCTCGACCAGAGAATGGTGGAGACCTTGTTCTGTTCTTTCGGGAGACAGGTGTGATGGAGGATGGGCTGCCAGTGTCCTCACCCCAGACAGTCTGAGTTGTGACGTTGACATCGATAGTCTGTTTGTTAGCACGGGCAATCTGATGGAGAACGTATTCTCGCTGGGCTGCGAGCTCTTCCAGATGCTTCTCTCCTTTGGAAAAGCTCATGAGCCCATCGAGGTCTTCCTTGATCTATGGCGAGACAACAATTAGTGAAGCCTTCTAGACACCCGCGACGTACTTTCAATATNNACTTACACAGTGCTCAGCAACTCCGCCCTGTTCACGAAGCTTACGTACCCAAATGGTACGCATCTCGGTCCAAAACACGCCCGAAGCCTCTTGAGAGGCATCAGCTTCCCGTAGCCAATCTTCACTTTTTNNTCTTCCGCGAGGCCAAGGATACTGGGTGCANAGAAATTCTCCAAGCTTATCACCAATTTCGTCGTCTCCAAAAGGTGCGTTCGTCTTCTTGATGAACTGGTCCCGATTAGACTCTTCCAAGGGCCTCTTTGTATGCTTATGATTAGTGCGGACATCACGCAAGGGCCGTAATATGATAGAAGACATCATTTCGAACAGTATAGCCATGTCGCTCAGTTGAACAAGCAAGCTCTGGCTGATGCGAGCTGCCTCCTTGCGGTCGGTACGACACAGATAATCGATCATGGTGAAGTTGAGCGAAGGATCCATGCTCAGAGGTCTGCACTTGTCGTAGCCTAAGGAGCTCACTGCCCAGCACAGCATGTCGTTAGGGAAGTGATCGTCCAAGCTAAACTTGCGATTGAACTTGTCATTCTTTCCGTCGCCTTCAATACCGAGATTCTTTCCAAAGCCACGCTGGTAGAGGAGGCTTGTTTCGACATTTTGCTTGAAGACGGCGAAAGTCTCCAAGCAAAGCTCCCAGACAGTATGGAGCTTGTGTTCATACTGGGCTCTGGCTTCTGGGTCGGATGGAGACTCTTGAACCGCCTTGAACCACACTCCCATACGCTTGCTTTCATTGTTCAGCTGACGCCAATACATCTTCCTGTGGAGAGGAATGCAAAAGAGCTGGTCGACAAAGTATGGCCATCTATCAGAGCCAGACCGCGTCTCGAAGAAGTTTGCTGAGGCCAATTCACGAGCGAGGAATTGAACATATGCAGGGTCGGTTTGATGATTTTCGACATCGTCTCTGACAGCGCGATGGCGAGAGGCGATGAGCTCCATAACTTCGATCGGGTCAAAAGAAGGTGGCGCTGAGAAAGGCTTGACAGAGTCAGTAGACCATCCAGCAGTAGCGCCAAACCTGGAGAAGTCTGTACTGATCAACTGTAACCATTTGGGATGGATGTCATAGATAGGCACTTCGTTGGTCTCGGCCAAGAGTNNCATGATCTCTCTGCGATGCATCTGCGGAGCATTCCACTTGACCAGCTTGCCATAATCAGGACCCTGCACAACAACACACTGGGCGTTGAACACATGATCGATAGGTCCAAAGCATTCGGCAAGAACAACATTGGAGCTGTCAAAGGTAATCCATTTCTCAGGTTCGTTGAAGGTGCGGTGGTGCAGCAACGCCAGAAGGAGCATGGGGTCTTCAGACAACATCTCTGCATCAAGGTACGGCAAAAACCATGTGTCTCGAAACCTGTTGATAACTCCTTCTGGGTCTCTAAGATGAGGGGGCCTGCAGACTTTCACCACTTCGCCAGTTTGGCGGCTGATCGTGATGCCTCTTCCCGAAGGGCCAGTGTAGTATGCGTGTTCTTCTTCGCTGTGAGGATACTTGACGGCATCGAGCAGATGGACAGCTGCCCATTTCTTAGGATAAAGAGCGCAGTGTTCCTCCAAGAAAGTGAATCGCTTGTCACGCGACTTCTTGCGCCATCTGGTGACGATGAAATCGGCATGAGCAGCGAGCTTCCTGCGAAGGAATGTCATGTTCTCCTGAATAGTTTCCGTCAAAGACTCTGGACGGCATGGTCGGTTGCGTTTCGCTGAATGACAGCAAGGATGAAGGGTTTGAAGGGGAAGTAGATGGATGACGGTCGGGGATGCAGAAGATATAGTCGGGTGATGGTCTGAGGGGTTTGATGCAGGAAGCCGAGCGCGTATGCAGAGTGAAAGTGAAGCTGAGGCATCAACTTCCCGAACCGACCATGTTCGACTCTGATCGTTCTTTCCAAACACAATGGTAACGCGAAAGAATGCAGACACACGATAATAATGCATGGATCGGCTCGCTTTCAACTAATACCAGTGTGGACAACACATCCATTGTCTTCCATCAATCATTAGCGTCTCATATTGGGACGGTTCTGATGAATTCCTTTTCAGCTGCTCCTACGACTTTAATACATTTGTGGTCGCTGGGACTTTGAGTTCATAGACCTTTGAAGTTGGGAGAAGATGCTGATCCTGGACATAGTCATATAGTTTTCTCAGCATCAAAGTTCGAAGCTGGCGGTAAGCCCCTGACTGTATTAAACAATCTCAGGTGTAAAATACTGGTGAAAACAAAGCTGCTAGATTCATAAGAAAGGTCAGCACACAACGATAGGCAACGAGGAAGGGGGCTCGATTGATAGAATGTATTTCCTTCGCGTTTTCATCTAATAGAGTACTCTTGACAAGCGAATAAAGCAAAAGAGAGAGGGCCTGTCAAGCAACAAGAAACACTCGGCCAGACCCCAACGCAAACCGAAGCCATGCCATCCCAAAGCCCCAGTAACTTGACGCCAAACCGGCAAGAAGAGAGCAGAAAGCAGAAGTTGAAAAAAGGTACAGCGGAGAAAACGGGAAAGCAAACATCCTTGTACCTTTTGGTCCAGCCGTGAATCCGTCAGTAACGAGAAAAGGAATGAGGAAAAGAAAAGTACATGAAGAGTAGAAAAAGGCTCGGCCAAGTCAAGCGGCGATATCTTCCGGGTACTTTGACTCCATGCAATTCGACAAGCCACATAAATCATCAGCGCTAACGATAGTAGTGGCGTCTCAACAAGAGATGATGAACGTTACGCTCGTGATGGCTGATACGCTTGATGGCGGCGTCAATGTCGCCAGCACCACCAAAACATTGCTCTTCTTCAATGGTGCGCTTCGCATGAATGGGACCGCAGGAGTTCTATCCCTGTTGGCTCTGCGATCCAACATTAGCTAGGCGTTGCGAGAAGATAATCAAGTCGTCACGCGCGGCAGGTTCGGATGCAAGGATATCGCGCATGTTAAGCAGAACGTGCTCCTCAACATGGTTACCAGCAGCGGAAAGAATTTGGGCAACCACTGGTGTATGAGCCAAAGCGCCTAGAATGCCATGAACCATGGGATTCGGGTGAGGTGGCAGCTGTGGGGAAGGCGATGGGTATGCTCCGGCTCCCGAAATAGGAGCAGAGTAGGGCTGTCCTGAAACAGGGGATTGTGTGGTATAAGGGTTTGGAGGCATGGCACCACCACCAAACTGCTGCTGCTGAGCATGACCGTTTTGCATGGGAGTGAATCCCTGAGGTGGACGCGGCGAAAACTGGGGACCGTGTGCGCTGTTGCCGTTGACAGGAGTGGCACCGATTGGCTGGGGAGCATCGGGTACGACAGGGTTGTCCCAGTGATCGGGCTTGTTGACAACGAATGTGACAACAAGCATACGCTCGGGTACATTGGGATCGAGTGTGTTGTACTCGAGCAGATTAATGTGTGGAGGCAGGTTGTGGCCAGGGCCGACAGGGGTAATGTAAACATCCTTGACGATCGAGGACATGTCGCGGCCCTTGCTAATGACTGCATAACGACCACGAGTAGCGAAGTAATCAAAGATCTGGTCGAAAGCAGCGCGGTTGTCGTAGGGTGTCAGTGCGAGGACTGATACGTCACTCTTCTTACTCCACTGCAGACCGCATAGGTAGTCGTCGGCGCGTTTGGCTTCCAGGCGACCCTCGATTTCGAGGACAGAGGGCAGGAGTTCGGTCCAAGGCATGAATTGGCCGAAGTCGTTGCCGGCAGCATGGCGGGCACATGCAGTGAACTCGGTAACGCCAGGCTGGACGAGTTGACCCTTCCAGACAACGCCGTTAGCTTCGGGAGGAGCATAGTCGGTCTCATTGTCGTCAGCGAGCATGCGGTCGACATCAGCATCGTGCTTCTCGCCCTTCTCCTGAGGTGTCTGCGTCTTGGCGAATGAACTGCGTCTGCGAGCGGGTTGTGCTTGTTGGTCGGCGGGTGTCTTTGCCCAGACAGAGTTGATGTCAAAGTTTGATTCGCGGCGGTCGACCTCCATGGCGTCAGGAGATGCGGCAGCACCAGCAGTAGCAGGAGCATCGGCGTCAGGAGTGGGTGGCTTGTCCTGATCCTCTCTGCTGCGAACAGGTGCTGAGGTGAAGACTGATTCGTGGGTGCTTTCGGCCTGGTCGTCAATGTACTCATCACCCTTGTGGGTACGGCGGACACGAGGCTTGTCGTCTTCATCGTCGCGCATCATGACAGCTTGTTTGTCGGCCTCTTCCTTGAGTTGTTGGCGCTGCTTCTGCAGCTCTTCACTAGCCATGTCTTGTGTAGACATGGTTGCGAGGCCGTGTGCAGTCAGGGAGTTGTCGAGCATGCGTTGAACGAGCATGGGATTCTTCTTCATGTTGGCGTGGATGGCTCTGAATTGTTGCGTGTAGCCTTGCGATTGAGGGGCGCCATACAATTGGAACAGTTCGTACTCGATGCGTGTGGCATGGTGGTGGCTGACCGAGTCGGCGTTTTCGCCTTGACCAAGACTGTAAGAACTGAAAAAGTATGGATTAGCCATTGTTGGATTGAGATGAATGAAAGATTAAATGTGAAGGATACGGCGAGGAAACCAAGTTAAGAGGTCGGTGGGTTGCGAAAGCAGGAACGAACAAAATGCAAAAGTGGAAGGTGCGACTTACCCAGTTGTGACTCTCTCACGAACAACATCACCAAAGACCTTGATGAGTGCCTGAGCAGGTCCTTGTCTCTCCTTGGGCAGGTCCTTGACATCGACCAGCGCTGTGTCGGCGTCAACCTTGTCGTCCTTCTTCTGCTCCGACTTGCGGCGCTTGGACTGGGTGGCTGCTGATGATGATGATCTTCTCGTCTCCTCGGTCTGTGCCTCTACCTGCGCCTGCTCCTGAGGAGTCTCCTCCTCGAACTTGCGCTTGCTGCCAGCAGCAGGAGCAGAGTCTTGCGAAGGAGGTGGAATGGATGCGGAGGCAGTGGGCGCAGGGCTGGTCTGCTCGCTGGCTGGAGCCTCGGACTTGACTTCACTCTGGCGAGCAGCCTTCTGTTGGCGACTCTTGGGTCGCTTCTTCTCATTGCGCTTTCGGCGCTTCTCTGCTTCGTGCTCGGCAATGCGAGTCTCCCATAGCTGTTCTCCACGTTTGAGGGCATCTAGCAGGTCCTTGTGGTTTTCGGGCTCGCACTTCTCGCAGAAGTAGTGTTCGGGCTGGTTCTCCTCCTCCAATGGCACGCCCATACAGACATTGTGCTGCCACACTTCGCAAGTGTCGCAGCTGACATACTGGCGGCCAACTTCATCGTCCTTGGTGTCTCCACAGACGCAGCGAATAACCTCCTCGGCGTCCGGGTCGTCATCTACTTCGGGCTCAGGTTCAGGCTCGGCTGACTTCTTGTTGGCACTCTTCTTGGTCGAGGCAGTGGCGGTGCCTTTCTTGTTCTTGGGTGTGTTGACTTCGGCAGCCTCGAGTTTGGTGTGCTGACCCTTAGTCGCGCGACCACTGCGTCTGATATCTGTTCGAGGAAGCGCGTTAGCTACCATGTCTTGTGTATGGCGCATTGAAGCGCGTAGCCTCGTTTGTGGTATAGGCAATGTGTGCTTGTGTGTGGTGGAATGTCTTTGCTTACCAGACATGGCTGTCGTGTATGGTGTGTCGTCTCGTCCTTCTGCGTACGATGTCTTGCAACCACAGACAAGGGCGACCTTTCAATGGCGCACAAACGAGTCAAACGTAGGTGTGGAATTGGGGACAGGCGACGGGAAATCACTCTCGTGGCGGCGCGTGTGCAAAATCACAAGCTGTTTCTCAGAGCTCCGGCGCCGTCTACTACTGGCGACGATGTGTGTCTGTGACTGGCGCGCTCTCTTGCTCTGCGAAACAGGATGCGCCTCGCTTGTTGCACTTTCTGGTCTCCACTCGGCACGCGATGATGTAGTCAAAGACGCGCAGAGACGAGGTGATGGATGTTTGTCTAACTTCTAATCCCCAAAAGCGCTTCCCAAGAATGAAAAGCTCTCCTCCCTGCACAGCTGTCGCGGTGATCGTTGCTGTCGCTGTCGCTGTGGGCGCGTCGCGTGAGTGGGCGCAAAGAACGGCTTGTGTCGGTCGTATGCGCAAGCTGAAATGAGCAGATCTTGTGAAGGTCGCGTGTCGTGTCGCGAATGCTTCAAATGATGGCAAGTGTTGTCGAGTTTTGCGCGCGCAATTTGCTGCTATGTATGGGTGTGGTGATGGATGATGACTGAGAGAAGAAGGAACCGAGACCTTTCGGCGATTGCGAGCTTTGGCGTGGTCAGGCTGTGACAGGCAGCTCGGGAGTGCGGGAGAGGGGAACCATGACGCGCAGCAGCCAATCATGTCCCGTCGGATATCTTTCCTTTTTCGATTCTCTTCTTCCACCCTCCAGAGGCAAGCCTCTGCGCCGTTCGAGGGCTGCGGTCGCGCTTCACAATCAAGAGTGACTGGTATGTAGAAGAGCTCACTCATAACAGTCACTGTTACTCGATTCGGGCAATGATCGCACTGATAGTAAAGAGAGTTGCCTACATGCTGTCTGTGTTTTTTCAAGGCTGTCTAACTAGAATCCCTCGTCTGCAGAAACAGAGCTTACGGAGAGCATTTTGAAGCCTAAAAATTCCACTGCAGACAAAAGGCAGCCGCACATCGCCATACTGATGAGCAAGGATGTGATAGCCCGTCAAGCAAAAGAAGAACATGTCGCTTCTGTGGATCGAACACAGTGCCTCCAGAATACTCTTGCGGGTGCAAGAAGGACAGAAGTTGACTTCAGTCTGGCGCTCTCCCAGATGAGCTAAAGCGGCGATTTATGCTTAGCCTGGGTAAAAAAATCTGTATGATGTTTTTCCACAATTATGCAGCATCTGACTCAAGCGTGACGGTTCATGATGCACAGTGAGATCTTCCAGAGAGCATATGGATTTCATTTCAAGCTAAAAGCATGAGGTCTGACTCCAGCGGCCTCTTTAGCGTGGTTCACTGGTTGCTTGTGTCAAATCCATCCCGAAGCTCAAAGCACTACTCGTTTTGCGACATTCGTGATCGTTTTCGTAGAAATTTGCAGTGGATGCTCAGTATATTCAAGTATGGCCCCATCCACATATCAATAACAGGAAATGACTGGAAGAGGCGCTTCAGAGATTACCAAAGACATTTCGGACCAATCTTGGGCATGTTGATGTTGATCCGAAGGTTCCAATCCTTGCAACAGGGTTGCTCCATTAGCATCGGTATGGGAAAAGCCGACGTCCAACCGAAAGAGCACGCTGGTAAGTTCTTCGCTAACACAATCTAGGCAGAGGAGATGATAATCAGAAAGAAGAGAATCGCAAAGTGTATTCAATCGGTACCTGTTGTGTTGTGTCGCAGGTGAAGACCTCAAATGAGGAGACACAGAAGGCGAATGCCTAAAGCCCCAACGCCATACGCTATGAAAACCTAACCCAACCAGAAAAGTGACAGAAGTAGAGGAAAGCAAAAGAAAGGGGTTCCTTGACGCCATGGTAGGAATGTGAAGGAAGTGAAGGGAAGACGAAGGATCAACGGAGGAGAGCAAGATTACTACTCAATGCTCATCCGCATGATACCTTCGTTTGTGTCGACCATACCCTGCAGACCTATCCTTCGAGGAGCAGTACTACTGCTGTTTCCACCGCTAGTACTCTTTTCAAGCGGAGCGCCATCCTTGGGCAGAGCCTGATTGCGTGCTGCAGCAGAAGCAACCGGTGATGCAACGATTGGGCTGCCACCATGCACACTCATGCTAGGACTGACAGCTCTACGCTTGAAACTCTGCATGTCGAAGTCATCATCCCGGCGACGTTTGCCAAAAGGCCTGCGAAGGGCGTCTTGGCTTGTGTAGGTAGAGTTTTGGGTATCTGTCTCCGAAGCGGCGGATGGTTCATTCATGCTGATGACAGAAGCTGAGCGCAACGCGGTGCTGTCGGCTGGCGAATCCATAGCAATGTCACCAGAAAGGGATGAGCTGCCTCTCGTGGGGAAGGCGGGTGGAGGAGGTGTGTGCAGTTCATTCTCTAGCTTATGCCAGTAGTCAACACCGCCAGAATTGCGATGAGCATGAAGGTTGAAGCTGATGGGATTGTTGTTGGTGGTGTCGGGTTGTGGGTCGTTGGGATCGTTAGGGTTGATATTGGGCTGTGAGGAAGATGGGCCAGGAGAAGGGCCCTCAAGATCGGGGACCGGATCATGGTTGTGCACTTGACGCATTGTCTCTGCCTCGCGGCGGACTTCGCTGTCGACGGGGGCGGATTCTTCAAGCAGGGCAGCACGGATGCGCGCAAAGTTCTTTGTCTTTGGCTGGGTAGGGATTAGCTTGTTAGGTGATGGCGTGTGTGGACAGTCACAGTCACTTACCAGCAAGTTACCTCGACGAGTGACGGCACGGCGCACAACGCCCGGAACCGAAGAGGAAGCAGCTGCTTCATCTCCACTGTCGTTACCTGATGAGAGAGAAGGGTGCTCAGGCCTGGTCTCACGGAGACGTGGCCAGCCAAAGTGAGCAGAGCCTTCGATGCTGCGCAGAGGCGGCGGCGAAGCGGTGCGCGGACTGGGCATGGCCGAGTTGTTGCTGGCACTACTCGAACTCTTTCTGCTTCGTCCTTTCTTCAGGCGACTTCGCTGGAAGTTCTTCATTAGACTGGCATGTGCGGGGGAAAAGTTGTTGCTCCACATGACAGTGTTGTGATTCCCGAAAGGAGTTGTGGCTTGCGGGTTGGTAGTTTTCCGAACTTGGGGAGTTGTCAGGATTTGGTCGTCCATATCGTCCATCACATCATCGTCGCTAGTGCTGTCGTCGCTGTCTTCGTCGGCAAGCATGCTGATGCTACCCACACTACTGCTGACAGCACTGCGGTCGGTCGGACCCTGGGGCCAGAGATTAGGCGAGTCGAGCATCATGCTGTTGACGCTGGGCTTCCGGACGGCGGCTTGGGTCATGATGGGTGACGAGCTGGGAGAAGGGTTGTCGGCGAGCGTGGAATGGTGAAGATTGGTGCAAGCTCTGGAAAAGTCTAGACCACGCGAGTGCCGCGGTAGAGAGGTCTGCGGCGAGGCGTAGGACGTCTGGGGGTCGAGTTGAGGAGAGAGCGGTACGCGTTGGATGGTGCTGGGAGCAGCCATCGAGGTCGTAGCTGTTGTCGCCGTCGTCTTAGGTGCCATCTGCAGCGACAGTCCTCTGGCTAAAAAGTCAGGCCGCCTGGGCGTCTGTGGTGAAGTGTCCAGCAGACTGTCATCTTTTGTCGCACTCGCCAACCGACTCGTCAGGAGCGGTGAGGGCTGCAGTCTTGCGGCCGTGGCCGTGGCGTCTGAGATGGAGCGTCTCTTGGAAGGCGTGCCCATATATGTATCCATGGCTCTTTCACGACTCTCAACTCTGTCCTATCGTCTACTGTCTTCGCTGTCTCCGCTGATGGTCGAGTCCTTATGTAGGGACGATCATGGTAGAGTGGTCTATTGTCTTATCGTCGTCGTGGAAGCCTTGGGATTGTCTCAATAATCATGTGAATCGAAGCCTGCTGCATTCGTACAGCTTCTGAAAGCAATTCCGGTGACGATGAAGCATCGAACAAAGTCACGGTCCAAAGTACGACCGTTGCTGTCAACGGCCGAACCTCTTCTTCCCCACATCTCATCACCAGCCTTGCCTTTATCCAGCCTTGTCACCACCAAGACCTGCATACCCATACGAGTCGAGCATCAATACATGTTAGGAGATGCTAGAATATCTTTGAGAGGCCTTGAGAATACTGCCATGTCTGATCAAGACATTCTGATGGCTTTGTGGCTCCTCAACACACTCTGGTCAAAGGTTGATTGCGGAACACCTCACCTGGCAGCCTCGCTCGCATAAGAACACCCAGCGTTACTCGAGCCCCATCACTCGATTACTCGAAACTCAGCCCAAAGTTGCACCAACATTAGGCACCATCTCGCAATCATATCCACCACAACAAGTGACTCCAATCCACACGTTCGCCTTGTCTGAAATCCCAATCATTGTGCCGTCTTCTTCTACGTGCTCCAACAATGCCTTTGAACTTCTTCCCAAGACCTTTTACGTCAATTGGCCAAGAGCCAAATGTCTGCACCACCGTGACTCCCGTCCTGGCACATGTCAAAACTCTCAACTCCAAGCCGTACTCTCAGATGTACCAAATGTCAGGCAGGTATCCTGAACATGTATCAATCCCAGCCGCCTTGATCGTTGACCGCTGCGTGCGACTCTGCTCACTCCTTGGTCCTTCGCAGTGACACTGCTATCAGTTCCCCCGAAGCACAGCTTGAAGGAAGCGCGTGCCGCTACCCGCGACAAACCATGCCCTGCACGTTGTCTTTCTACAACATCTTAGATCGGACCGCGGATGCGAATTTTCCGCAGGCACGTCTCCGCGACAGCAATCGTCGTCGAGTCTGCAAAGTGCGGTGCAAGGCGCAGTTGTCCGTTGCAAACGAGCCTCAGTCGTGCCCCGCAGCCAAGCTCCTTCACCGGATCCCTGAGCCGCAAGGTCACCACCTCATCCCAGTCACCTCCATGCCAGCAATTGGTCAATCCATGAGCTGAACTCCTCGAGCGCCATGCTGACCCGCCCTCGGCGCACTGTTCCTGAGGCACATGCGTTCACGAGACTCCTTGTGCATATGTAGCCGTGAGTCACGAACGCTGCCATCCGCGAGGGCCAAGAGGGCGAGGCAGCTCGTTTACGGATTGACGGGACCACCATTTGCGCATCTCAGCCTTCCCAGACTCTTGGTTCGCAATCAAGGTTTCTTGTCAATCCATCTCCAAGCCCTTCTAGCGTAGCTCCATGCATCCCATCCGCGAGCTTGTCGCTGCGGCAGTGTGTCGCAATGCATAGCCATACGTCGCCGCAGCCTTTCGGCGTCCCTTTCCGGTATGGTATGGTCTGCCCGTAACTGACGTCGAGAGTTGTGCATAATTCAGGCAGACGGACGCTACTTCCCTGAGGTTGATATAAGTAAACGTCTTATTCTCTGTCTATCGTTCCTTCCCTCTTCCCCCACTCTCTTGTCCACACCTGCCAACTATAAGTAACCTGCCACCCAACAACAGTCTTCCCAACAAACATCTTTGATCAGCACCTTGCCTTTCCTTCAACAAAAACCAAACAAACCTACCCCAAACATCCTCATGACGAGACTCACTCCATCACTGGCCCCTGCGGTCAGCCAGCCTATTCCCATCAGATCAAGAAACAACATGCCTACCGCCGCTCCTGCTGTTCAGCATTCCACTCCCCCCTCACCCAAGGGAGTCCGCTTCTCGGATACTTCCTCAATCGTCACTGGCTTCTCACGACCTCTCACCTCAGAGGAGGCGTGGCTCTTGTTCGATTTCGAAACTCACTCTCGTGAATGTCGGCAGTGCATCTCTCCATACACGCAATGGCAGGCAGGTGCTTCATTGTGTCATAAGGGAATGCACATGTCAAAGCAAATCGCCGATACCATGTACATGCACAAAGGAAAGGTCTTCGAAAGATACACCCGTCTTAGGAAGCCTTCGCAGGTCGAGATCCCTCACACGTACACATACCTCCGAGAACAACTTCGCGTCTTGGAAGAGTCTGCAACTATCCGTCATGCTCGCCGCCAGAACGAAGAGCAAAGACCGCGTGTCAAAGTTCACAACGACAGCAATCGCCGCAATGATGAACCCCATAGATCCAGCAGTACCGAAGTCGTCATTGAGGGAGGCCGTAGAGACGACCACCATCGCAGAGACAAGTACCGCCAGGAAGAACCTCGCGAGACCAGGTATCACGATCACGACCGTGAGCACAGACATGGTCACAGAGAACACCGCTCAGAATACCGTCACGAAGAGAGAACGGACCGAGAACGTCGCCGAGCCGCAGAAGTCGAGGCGGAGATCAACGTTCGGGAAAATAGGTACCGCACACAGGAGAGGAGACCAACTTGGGCAGAAGGTAGTTCGAGAGCACGCCGGTAGTTCCATTGTTACGTTGCTCACGACTTTATGATTCGACGATCAGTTTTACTTTGGCGTTCTGGCAGGGATTTGATACCCCGATGCCGCATACAGCTCTAATGCTTCGAGTGTTGCTATTGCTCACTGTAATGTCTTCTTCTAGTACTGTTATTACTACTATCATGTTTCACACCTCTGAGTATTTTTGACGTTCCTCAACACCCTCTCTTCCTCTCTGCATCGTCAACAAGATGGTAAGCCATATTGATTTCAAGAGGCGGTGTGTTCCCCGCTCACTACTTGGGAAGAGACTCGAGGCGACCTATCACGATGTATCGGTACCTGCATTTGCAGCTGCCGTGTTATCGAAAACGCATCACTCATCCATGCACAGATCTAGTGGAGAACGCGTTTGTGGCATGATTTGACTACTATCGACAACTTCTTGTGGCTGGTGATATCACCCACCTCGCCGAGAAGAATCAGCTTTGTCACTATCATGTCAGTCCAAGAGCCCCTTTATCTCATCCGACGAAAAGTGCCCGATGGCTACATCAAGGTCCATGATGTTTGTATGTCTCTCGCTGGCGATGCAGTGTGTTGGCAGCCTGTGGGTGTCTGCCTGGTCTCTCAAGGGTCAGCCTCTCTTGATAGCCGCCATGTTGAAGTCTTCGCTTACTTGCCGAGTGTCGTGCATACTCTTGATTTGCCTATATCGGGCAAGCAAGCGCGTCAGAAACACAATAAATTGCGACATCTGCTCACATCCTCAACTGCCATTGGTCCAAATTACTATAGCAAGCAGAGTGGTTGGACAATATACATAGGTTGAGTACGGCGATTGTTTCACCGTGTACTGATTGTTCTTACCTAGCACGTGGTGCATGGGAGGGTGTACTCACAAACAAGTTTTGCCTGGGCTGATCATCTCGCCGCCTCATCTCGATGACTTGCTCGTTATCCAATATCCTTTATCCTGGGTATGATCTACCGGTCTTGTTTGGTGGACGGCGACTGTGTTCTTCTCTCGCTTCTTCTGGTATAGTAAGTGTGTCTCGGTCTTTCTTCTGTTGGCTAGATACTGAATCTCCCTCACGATACCACACATCCCATGCTCGAGTGACCATCTCCCGCCATGATCCAGTCCATGGCCTCTTGTACCACATTTTGTTCGGATGTAACGACTACCGTTACCATATCGTTACAAAGCCCGAATCCGAACCCAATCACCAAGACTGCAACGCCACAACACAATACGTCGACATTAGGCAACTTCTTCCACACCGCCGCAACCCAAAACATACCACATGCGGCAGTCACTTTACCTGTTCAACCAATAACCGAGATAGACATGAAAACAAGAGACCCAAGCCCGTGGTAACGAATCAGAGGGTCTGATGTATCCAGGCGGCTCCGGAACATCCTCGTGAATAAGGCTCGCCGAGTTCGTCCGCGTGACGCGATGCACTTGTGCTATAACAACACGACCCCCTACTCAGCCTGCCCAGAATTTGGTATACCGAGGAATCAGTTGTAGATCGAACATCGGAGCTGGCCGATGCTGACTCTGACCCTTTGCTCTCTAGGCAGTCGTGTCTACCGCATCACTGTGAGGCATAACTTTGCCATTTAGGGTGAACACAGCAGACTCTGAGAGCACAGAGCCAGACAGTCGTACGCGTCTGGACTGCGATATCGCTGCTTTTACTTAGTTGCTGGTTGTGTTTGTGTTCCAAACCTCTACACCGGAACATCGCTGATTTGAATCAGCTGTTGGATGTCTTTGTGTCCACCTCTACTACCTCAATCGCCAACAGTGTACGGATCTGGTGATGGATTCAACAACACACCCTCCTGGTTCTGGCATAGATGACTGGTTTGTCATCAGCTTCTCTAACCAGAACTGTTGTTTTGCCATCTGTCATTCCTGTGATATCCGACATCGCCTTTAATCCATTTGACTCCACGACCTTGGTCACACAAAACATACTTGACAACCCTGAATAGTGTGCGATAGAACGACAATCGCCTGTTCCGGATTTGATTTGTGCAATCTCGACTCACCGGTGGGTTGTCTTCCGTCACCTCTAACCAGACGTCTCTCGCTCAGACCAAGTATTTGTTGCCAGCTCAGCTTCAATTATCAAGTTGTTTACTGTCTGATGATATCTGACCTGATATGCTCGTGGTTGGTGGACATAATTAGTTGGGGTTCCTATCTGACGACATCTATTCTAGATGCATTTGTCAGTGCTACAGGCAGAATCTTGATTGAAGTTCAAACCAGATGGTCAGGGATGAGCACTTGACATTGCTTGATTGACAAATTTGTTTAATCTGATTTGTTCTGTACTCATAAACAAGGGGTGCATCCTAATCCAGTGATCAAGATCAAATGACA